TCAGAAGCACCTCAATGAGTCAGTACCTCAATGAGTCAAAAAGACCTCAATGAGTCAAGAGGACCTCAATGAGTCAGTATCTCAATGAGTCAGGACCTCAATGAGTCAGTAGGACCTCAATGAGTCAGCAGGACTCAAGCAGTGCTATTTCGACGCAGTTGACCACAGCGTCAAAACTCCGGTGCAACAGACAATTTAAAAGCACCGCAATGTTTACGGAACCTCAGTCACCGCCTCCTGAGGTGAGGTTGGCTAACGTAGGTTATTCAAGCTTCTGGCTAGTCTAAACCGATGGATATTTGACGCAGGTGAAGTGGCTGGTGCAGTAGTTGTGTGTGTGTGTGTGTGTGTGTGTGTGTGTGTGTGTGTGTGTGTGTGTGTGTGTACTCACCTAGTTGTGCTTGCGGGGGTTGAGCCCTGGCTCTTTGGTCCCGCCTCTCAACTGTCAATCAACTGATGTACAGGTTCCTGAGCCTACTGGGCTCTATCATATCTACACTTGAAACTGTGTATGGAATCAGCCTCCACCACATCACTGCCTAATGCATTCTATTAAATGCTGTGGGTACAACTGGAGCCATGTGTGTGTGTGTGTGTGTGTGTGTGTGTGTGTGTGTGTGTGTGTGGGAGTTGTGTGGGTAACAGACCACTGTGTGGTGTGGGGGGGAGGGGGTGAGGCCGGAGGGAGGTGGTTCACACCTACACACAGATAAGATAAGATAATGGTGGTGAGTGTGTAGTGGTGATAAAGCTCCAGGTGTGACCAGATAACAGCCTCTATGGCTACACTTCCCTCACTCACTCACACACACACACACAAACACACACACACACACACACACACACACACACACACACACACACACACACACACACACACACACACACACACACACACACACACACAACCCACATGATGATCACAACCTACAAAATCCTCAGGGGAATCGACCGGGTAAACAAGGATGAACTATTCAACACTGGTGGGACGCGAACAAGGGGACACAGGTGGAAGCTGAGTACCCAAATGAGCCACAGAGACGTTAGAAAGAACTTTTTCAGTGTCAGAGTAGTTAGTAAATGGAATGCATTAGGAAGTGATGTGGTGGAGGCTGACTCCATACACAGTTTCAAATGTAGATATGATAGAGCCCAGTAGGCTCAGGAATCTGTACACCTGTTGATTGACGGTTGAGAGGCGGGACCAAAGAGCCAGAGCTCAACCCCTGCAAGCACAACTAGGTGACAACTAGGTGAGTACACACACACAACATTGAACAAGCCAATGAATAAACTTGTCAATTTTAACTCTTTCATACAAGGTTTGACAAGTCTTGGGTTGTAAATATAGGTGAAGACGCAACTATGTTGGGGTGGGGGCTGTGGGGTGGGGGGTGGGGGCTGTGGGGTGGGTGGTGGGGGCTGTGGGGTGGGTGGTGGGGGCTGTGGGGTGGGGGTGGGGGCTGTGGGATGGGTGGTGGGGGCTGTGGGGTGGATGGAGAGGCTGTGGGATGGATGGACGCCGCTGTGGGATGGGTGGAGGTGCTGTGGGGGAGCCAGTGGGTGGGTGTGTGGGGGAGCCAGCGGGTGGGTGTGTGGGGGAGCCAGTGGGTGGGTGTGTGGGGGAGCCAGTGGGTGGGTGTGTGGGGGAGCCAGTGGGTGGGTGTGTGGGGGAGCCAGTGGGTGGGTGTGTGGGGAGCCAGCGGGTGGGTGTGGGGGAGGCAGCGGGTGGGTGTGGGGGGGCCAGCGGGTGGGTGTGGGGGAGGCAGCGGGTGGGTGTGGGGGGAGCCCGCGGGTGGGTGTGGGGGAGCCCGCGGGTGGGTGTGGGGGCGGGAATGTGGGCAGCGAGGCGCTGGGCTGACCCTCCCGGCCAGTTATATACCCAACATGCAATTTCCTTATCAAGGGTCTCCAACCTTCCTCGTAATCCATTGTATTTCGATGAGCCTTCCCTGGTCACGGTCTGTGGTCCCTGGGCACGGTCTGTGGTCCCTGGTCACGGTCTGTGGTCCTTGGTCACGGTCTGTGGTCCCTGGCCACGGTCTGTGGGTCCCTGGTCACGGTCTGTGGTCCCTGGGCACGGTCTGTGGTCCTTGGTCACGGTCTGTGGTCCCTGGCCACGGTCTGTGGTCCCTGGTCACGGTCTGTGGTCCCAGGATACGGTCTGTGGTCCCTGGCCACGGTCTCTGCCCCCCCCCCCTTCCCCCTACTGGCCACGCCCCCCCGTACTAAGCCCAACCACTACCGTACCTTAACAACCACGAATCTCAACACCACCGATACAATCATTAGTCACATTTAACGTTGTAAACATTAGCGGCCAAAGCGTAGTTCGCCTGTTACGTCACCCACAAGAGGTTCAACAACCCCATAAGGCTGTTATATCTATCTCTGAGGCTCTGAATAATCAACCATATGACACTGTAGCCCCTCAAACACCAGCCAGTGATTAAGAAAGTGGTTTATCTTTGTCTGTACCCGATAGGTCTGTCATTTTTCAAATTGCCTCTCCGCTTCTCTTCTGATTCTGGTGTATTAATTTCTGGTCCTCCTTAGATAAGGTATTTATTAGGATATACGTCTAATCCAGTATGCTTATACAGTCTGAGTGTATAGGCATACTGGTGAGGCATGATTGATGGGGTGGGGCATGATTGATGGGGTGAGGCATGATTGATGTGGGTGAGGCATGATTGATGTGGGTGGGGCATGATTGATGAGGTGAGGCATGATGGGGTGAGGCATGATTGATGGGATGAGGCATGATTGATAGTGTGAGGCATGATTGATGGGGATGAGGCATGATTGATGGTGTGAGGCATGATTGATGTGGGTGAGGCATGATTGATGGGGGTGGGGCATGATTGATGAGGTGAGGCATGATGGGGTGAGGCATGATTGATGGGATGAGGCATGATTGATAGTGTGAGGCATGATTGATGGGGATGAGGCATGATTGATGGTGTGAGGCATGATTGATGTGGGTGAGGCATGATTGATGGGGGTGGGGCATGATTGATGAGGTGAGGCATGATGGGGTGAGGCATGATTGATGGGATGAGGCATGATTGATAGTGTGAGGCATGATTGATGGGGATGAGGCATGATTGATGGTGTGAGGCATGATTGATGTGGGTGAGGCATGATTGATGGGGGTGGGGCATGATTGATGAGGTGAGGCATGATGGGGTGAGGCATGATTGATGAGGTGAGGCATGATGGGGTGGGGCATGATTGATAGGGTGAGGCATGATTGATGAGTGAGGCATGATTGATGGGGGTGAGGCATGATTGATGGGGGTGAGGCATGACTGATAGCATGAGGCATGATTGACAAAAATTGGTATTCAAATCCCCAACTAAAACACCTTTTTTTATGTTTTTATGCCTTAGAATGTCATATGGAAACCTATGCAGCTTTTGCTCGCTTGCTATTGGCTGCCTGCGCGGTCACCCATCCAACGTTGACCTTAACCTGACTGATCGAGACATTTAACCAGTCACCAACCACTATCCCCATCAAATTAGACAATCACTATCGCACTGTACCTACCACCACCACCACAACAATTAGCTAACAGCTACCACCATCCACTACACTACCACCATCATCACTCGTATACTGAAAATATGACTACCACTACTAACACCAGTTGTAACCACCACTACCACCATCATAGATGATAACCCCACTACAACCATTAATGTTATCCATACATCACTACAAATTCTTCCATTACCCTTACAATAACCACAATTACCCCCCCCCCACCTTTCACTATAAGCACCATTAACCCTCAATATAACCATCCATTTATTTTAACAACCACCATTACCACCCTGTAATCATCATTACTCCCACTTTAACCACAATTACTCTGCTATAACCACTATTACCCCCATTATAACTGCCGTCAATACCCCCACTCCATTATAACTACCATTACCCGCAACAATATCCACCACAATAACCCCCACTACCCCCCACAATAACAACCACCCTCACAATACCCACCACTACCCCCACCCCCATAATACCCCCCACTCCCCCCACCCCCATAATACCCCCCACCCCCCATAATAACCACCACTACCCCCACACCCCCACAATAACCACCACCACCACCTTGCTGCTACCACGCAAGATAACGTCGCCTACCTGACATCCCATTCATTCCCACCTGCACCCCTCCACCTGCACCCCTCTAGCAACCCCACCACCAGGAGACACAATGTGAGGGGCGCCTCACCAGGCCTCCCCAACCCCTCACAACACACACCGCCGCCCGTCACCACCATACGGGAGAAAAACAGAAAAAACACAGCAATTCGGCACGCTTGTCTTGGCGCCCGGAGGGAGGGGCGGCCGCTGGCCTCTCCCCCCCCCCTCATACCAACCCTCCCCCCATCTCCCCCCCAGCATTTCCTCACCATTTCCATGCGTTCGTCAGCTAACGCAAGCATCTAACGCATATAAAAGGGCGTGGCACTAACGTGCCACGCCCCCCTACTCCTGACGTAGGGGTCAATAGAGAGAGGTGCCAAGTTTATGAATGACAACACCATGACGTCACCAAACATTGGCTGACACTGACACAGCTCCCCCCCCATAACCCCCCTAAAAAAAACAAAATAACACCAATATACCTCCTGTAGGAGGCGTTGCACGTGGCGGGTAAACACCCCCGCCTCCTGCAGAAGCCCCCAGGAGGCGTCTACAGCCCTACATAATAGTAGAAAAGAGATGTAGTAAATAAGGGCGGTGTTGGCGTGTCGCCGCGGCGGTCGTGCGTCTGGCAGCGGGGTCAAGGGATCGCCCATTCTATCCCTCGCTCTTGGCTCCAGGACCGAACCCTTAGCCAGCGGCGCCAGGCTAAATTTCCATCGATTTCCCCGGCTTTTCCGAGGGCGTGACCCTCGGGTAGGGATGCCCAGGGCACCGGCAGGCCCTCATGGTGCTTGTCAGGGCCAGGAAGGGCCGGCCACGGCACGGGACTTACCTGAAATAGGCTGAGAACCGAGGAGGTGTTGTCCCCCCGCCCGCCCCTAGGCTCGAGCTCTCACTAGTGGCTCCTCTTTCAGGTGCACCGCACCGACCCCTGTGTGTGTGTGTGTGTGTGTGTGTGTGTGTGTGTGTGTGTGTGTGTGTGTGTGTGTGTGTGTGTGTGTGTGTGTGTGTGTGTGTGTGTGTGTGTGTGTGTGTGTGTGTGTGTGTGTGTGTGTGTGTGTGTGTGTGTGTGTGTGTGTGTGTGTGTGTGTGTGTGTGTGTGTGTGTGTGTGTGTGTGTGTGTGTGTGTGTGTGTGTGTGTGTGTGTGTGTGTGTTTGTGTGTGTGTGTGTGTGTGTGTGTGTGTGTGTGTGTGTGTGTGTGTGTGTGTGTGTGTGTGTGTGTGTGTTGTGTGTGAGTGTGTGTGTTTGTTTGTGTGTGTGTATGTGTGTTTGTGTGTGTTTGTGTTGTGTGTGTGTGTGTGTGTGTACTCACCTATTTGTGCCTACAGGATCGAGCATTGACTCTTGGATCCCGCTTTTCCAGCCATCGGTTGTTTACAGCAATGACTCCTGTCCCATTTCCCTATCATACCTAATTTTAAAATTATGAATAGAGTTTGCTTCCACAACCTGTTCCTTAAGTGCATTCCATTTTTCCACTACTCTCACGCTAAAAGAAAACTTCCTAACATCTCTGTGACTCATCTGAATTTCCAGCTTCCACCCATGTCCCCTCGTTCTGTTATTATTACGTGTGAACATTTCATCTATTTCCACATTGTCAATTCCCCTGAGTATTTTATATGCCCCTATCATATCTCATCTCTCCCTTCTTTTCTCTACTGTCGTAAGGTTCAGTTCCTTCAGACGCTCTTCATAACCCATCCCTCGTAAATCTGGGACAAGCCTCGTCGCAAAACTCTGAACCTTTTCCAGTTTCCTTATGTGTTTCTTCCTTATGTGTTAAAATATATATATATATATATATATATATATATATATATATATATATATATATATATATATATATATATATATAGTATTCGGTCCCTGCAACTCACATACCGAAAGTCCCTGAAAAATTGTGCTGTGGGCCGCCATCTTGGAAAATGGCGACCGGAAACACATTTTTACACTTCTCGGAAGGTATCGATGTTGTCAAAATATGTTTCAGACCAAAAATATTTGCCTTAACAGGGGTGAGAGAGCAGAAGCCACACCAGGACGGTGAGGGAAGGAAGGAATGATGGCGTTTAACAATCCTTCTCCCGCCACAAAAGTCTTAGTTGCTACAGGAGAGGAAGTGTTTACTTTGACCATCAAAAAATACAACTTTAGATGATTCGCGGTGCTACACACACACACACACACACACACACACACACACACACACACACACACACACACACACACACACACACACACACACACACACACACACACACACACACATAAATCTTGCTTGACAGGCTTAATAGAATTCTACGACCAGGTGACAAAGATTAAGCAAAAAAGAGAGGGCTGGGCGGACTGCATTTTCTTGGATTGTCGGAAAGCCTTTGACACAGTACCGCATAAGAGGCTGGTACATAAGCTGGAGAGACAGGCAGGTGTAGCTGGTAAGGTGCTCCAGTGGATAAGGGAGTACCTAAGCAATAGGAAGCAGAGAGTTACGGTGAGGGGTGAGACCTCAGATTGGCGTGAAGTCACCAGTGGAGTCCCACAGGGCTCTGTACTCGGTCTTATCTTATTTCTGATATATGTAAATGATCTCCCGGAGGGTATAGATTCATTTCTCTCAATGTTTGCGGACGACGCCAAAATTACGAGAAGGGTTAAAACAGCGGAGGACTGTTTGAGGCTTCAAGAAGACCTAGACAAACTGAAGGAATGGTCAAACAAATGGGTGTTAGAGTTTAACCCAAGCAAATGTAATGTAATGAAGATAGGTGTAGGGAGCAGGAGACCATATATAAGGTATCATTTGGGAGATGAAATTCTTCAAGAGTCAGAGAGAGAGAAAGACCTGGGGGTTGATATCACGCCAGACCTGTCCCCTGCAGCACATATCAAGAGGATAACATCAGCAGCATATGCCAGGTTGGTCAACATAAGAACGGTATTTAGAAACTTGTGTAAGAAATCATTCAGAACTTTGTATAACACCTATGTCAGGCCAATCCTGGAGTATGCAGCCCCAGCATGGAGTCCATATCTAGTCAAGGATAAGACCAAACTGGAAAAGGTTCAAAGGTTTGCCACCAGACTAGTACCCGGGCTGAGAGGTATGAGCTACGAGGAGAGACTACGGGAATTGAACCTCACGTCGCTGGAAGACAGAAGAGTTAAGGGGGACATGATCACCACGTACAAGATTCTCAGAGGAATTGAGAGTGTAGATAAAGACAAGCTATTTAACACAAGGGGCACACGCACTAGGAGACACAGTCTCTCACGGTTGAGAGGCGGGACCAAAGAGCCAGAGCTCAACCCCCGCAAACACTTTTTAGTGTCAGAGTCGTTGACAAATGGAATACATTAGGCAGTGATGTGGTGGAGGCTGACTCCATACACAGTTTCAAGTGTAGATATGATAGAGCCCAGTAGGCTCAGGAACCTGTACATCAGCTGATTGACAGTTGAGAGGCGGGAGCAAAGAGCCAGAGCTCAACCCCCGCAAGCACAAATAGGTGAGTACACACACTCAGCAGACATACGGTGTCTGCCTACATGTTTAGCAATGGCTGTGGAGAGATGGAAAGCCTTTCTGAATGGGTATGGGTAAGAGAGGCGCCTTACAACTGCATACAAGGTGGTAAGGTGCCTTTCTTACCCTAAAATCTGCTGCACCAGAGTGTTCAGCACTCACCTCCTACATTCGTAAGCCCAACATTTTCATTAATACAGTATGTCATAATTTTATAGAAGAATTCGAAATTTTATACTTAGATTTACTTGCGGGGATTGAGCTTTGACTCTTTGTTCCCGCCTCTCAACCGTCTATTTATTGGTGAACAGACTCCTGAGCTTGTCGAGCTCAATCATATCTAGATTTATGTCTGATGTCTAAGATGATAACTTACTTGTCTAATGTCTACTGATAAAACAGGTAAATTATTTTTTAATTCATTGGAATGGGATTTGTGAAAGTTTGTTAAAACTTTTTTTTATAAAAGAAACTATTTAAACTTTAATTTCATAAACATTTGTAAATAAATAAATAAATATATTAAAATATATCTATGAACAGTTACATGAAAGCCTACTTCAAAATTGTGTTTTCTGCAATGTCTCATTTCTGAAAGTTTTTTTTATTCAATTGTGCCTTTAATCTGGAATGGTTTGACGACGTATATTTGTTTTTTTCAAAATTTAATACAACCTGGCGTAGGTTACTTAGAACGTCATAGTCTTTCCATTCTGGTCCTCTTCATTATATACGCACGATCTCTTCTTTGTGATGCCCGCCCTCTTTGGCAAAGAGGAGTGTTCATGGTATTCTCATATTTTTCAACGTTAAACATATTATTTCTGGCTTAATGGCAAATTATATACAAATTTCAATGAACAAAAATATGTCGACAATGTTAAAGCTGACATTTATGGTTTTAAACATTTTGTTTAACGTGGTTAGTTTCAGAGATAGGTTTGAATAATGGGTTTTCGGCCGCCATTTTCGAAGATGGCGGCTATAGCACATTTATCTTTCTTTTTCGATTTATCGGAGAGTTTCAATGCTAGTCGGGCAACCAATTTCTATATATATGGCTAGTCACTTGCTTGTAAGAGTTGCTTTACCTAGTTTTAATAACATTACTGCACTTTTTAACTATTGTGCATGCCTTGAATTGACAGGGGAAATGTTCAATCTATATTTAGCACAGCAGTAATATCAGATTACCCAGCCAGTAATCTCAGTTTAATCTCAAACGCTTTGGATGAAATAAAACTTTGGCAATACGACACTTGGGTTAAATAAACACTAGAAAATTCATGACATGAACTCAAAACGTAATATGCAGCAAGAACTCAAGTCTAAACTTGGACTGAAGGCAATACGTTAAATTTGTAATTCACGTTAAATTTGTAATTCTGTCCCTGAGGGCTATAGTGACAGTATTGGGCAGCGTCACTCATCCTGTGAGTGGACACACCACCATAATGACAGTATTGGGCAGCGCCACTCATCCTGTGAGTGGACACACCACCATAATGACAGTATTGGGCAGAGTCACTCATCCTGTGAGTGGACACACCACCATAGTGACTGTATTGGGCAGCGCCACTCATCATTTGGCGCCAAGACCAGACGTGACAGGACTGATCTTATTATAAGCCGTTTCAAGCTCAACAAGCCACAGTGTAGTGCAGATGCTTTGATTTTGCCATAGGATTATAAACCGATGGAACCGCCTACCCGCAGAAGCCGTAAATGTAGGAAAAAACTGCTGAATTTTAAAACCCAGCTCGATAAAATTATTAGGACAAATGTAGGGGAGGGGGGGAAGGACCTTTGCCAAGCCGCCGGCTTCCTGTCCTCGTCGAGGTCACTAGAGAGATTGTGGTCCATAGTTACATCTGGTCCACAGCCACACCTGGTCCACAGCCACACCTGGTCCAGAGCCACACCTGGTCCAGAGCCACACCTGGTCCACACGCCAGCACCTCCAGTAAAGGGCGCGACGCAGTGCTTCGAGAGACCCAAAGCCATTGATGATTCAACCACTGTGGAATTCAAACCTACGAGGCCAGTTTCCCTGAAGGCTAGGCTGCGCTGTTGTGTTGTGAGGCTTCCTCCAGGTGTAAGTCAATGTGAATACTTCAACTACACACACACACATTATACATTAAATATATATATGCATGTATATATATATATATATATATATATATATATATATATATATATATATATATATATATATATATATATATATATATATATATGTCGTACCTAGTAGCCAGAACGCACTTCTCTGCCTAATATGCAGGGCCCGATTTGCCTAATAAGCCAAGTTTTCATGAATTAATTGTTTTCGACTACCTAACCTACCTAACCTAACCTAACCTAACTTTTTCGGCTACCTGACTTAACCTAACCTATAAAGATAGGTTAGGTTAGGTTAGGTAGGGTTGGTTAGGTTCGATCATATATCTCCGTTAATTTTAACTCCAATAAAAAAAATTGACCTCATAATGAAATGGGTAACTTTATCATTTCATAAGAAAAAAATTAGAGAAAATATATTAATTCAGGAAAACTTGGCTTATTAGGCAAATCGGGCCTTGCATAGTAGGCCGAGAAGTGCGTTCTGGCTACTAACATACACAGGCATCCTGTGTCCGGGTGGCCATCGCCGACCCGGAACATTGTATCAGGTGGACCACACTGGTCCGCCCAGGACACTCCAGGTGGACCACACAGGCCCACCAGGTGGACCACACTAGTCAAATGGTGGACCGCACTATTTCTGCACTTTCCAGCGTAACAGAAATCTTCAACTCAGTCTAGGGTACGAACTCGGGTCGCTTCGCCTGCGTGTTCTATGGTATAATATGTACCCCATCTGAGGGCTCGAACCCGGGTCGGCTTGCTAGTCGTGCTGGTGTTATAACCACTTTACCAGATGCTGGCGCACACTCTTTGGTAACTATGTGGAAGTGCCATATATGGTTTTCCATTGTCAGGGAGAGGAAACCGGTTAGGCTTATGGAGGCCTCCCAAGCCTGGGGCAAATCTGGCCAGTCACCCCCATCCAATTACTGGCCACACCCAACGGTACTCAACCTGTCTGATCGAGCGACTCGCTTATCATTCACTGCGTCAAACTTTGTAATGAAACAATTGTCGTAAGAGGAATATTACATTAGAACTTCCATCAAAACCATCACCGCAATTGCCGCCAAAACTAACTCCATCCGTTGGGGGGTAGAAATAGCCTAAGCTACTCTCTCCCTTTGAGATATATTTCTTTCTTGTCTCAATAAACATACTTGAACTCCATCCACCACAATTATGTGGCATATAATTGTACTTCGAGTCCAAGCATTAAGAACTATGCAGTGAAACTAGTTGGGGAATAGACGTTAAATCTGCAGCAATATCAAACGTGCAATCCAAGCCCACAATGCAGGCCCACATACTCATCCAAAACCTGCAAAGAGCTAGTCCACCTCTGCCTGCAGCTCCTCCACCGACATAGTTAAAAAGAATATAGCATATCCATACATATAACATATCCATACATATAACATATCCATACATATAACATATCCATACATAAAATATATCCTTACAATGGGTGTTATCATACTGTGGCATATAATCCACAATGATATTGTTGTTGTTGATTTCCGGTCCATGACGGCGGTGTTCCCTTGAAGGATAAAACGCAAAGCTTTGCAGATATATTAATGTCGCCTGTCGGTGGATTCGAACGCGCCTTGCGGCAAAGTAAGGCAGAGGTTTGAGGAGCCTCGAGAGTCCCTCAGGAAGCCGAGCTCTGGTCCCCATCCCACACAGAGAACAGTAGGTAGCCAAAGTCGAGGCAAAACCACGGTCACCTAAACTCTTACCCAAATTGGCAAATACACAAAAACATCTTCCAGTTCCCTCTGGCAAAGCAGGAGCCAGCCGCTCACCACGCCCTGAGGACACAACAAGAGCCTACGTCGTCTCGTGGCACCTCGATCTCTGCCAAGCCGGCGCCAAACATTGTCTTTTCCCAAAGAACCACCCAGAAAACATAAACATATATCGACTTCCTTGTGACCCCAGTCGATAACTGCGCCAGGCGTCGTAACAATCTGGACCATTGAACAGGAATGCTTGATGGCAGTATCAAGAGCCAATTGGTAAGCAGGCGAGGAGACACAATAACGTGGCTGAAAAATGTTGACCAAACCACACACTAGAACGTGAAAGGACGACGACGTTTCGGTCCGTCCTGGACCATTCTCAAGTCGAAACGTCGTCGTTCCTTCACTTTCCAATTGGTAAAATGGCGTCACGTGTTCCAGCGGTCCCCAGGCAGCGGTGTTCAGACGTCCACTCGTCACTAAGGTTGAAGCTGGAGTCCGCCTAATCCACAATGGCATTGTTGACGAATTAGCAAAACAGTTTGCACTTCACAACACACGTTAAACACAAACGAATCGTAAATATAGCTCAGAATAAAAAAAAAATATTTTACAAAATATTTGAAATACATCATTACTTAAAGCACAGCAAAATGTAAAAAAAAAAAATCAAAAGCCTCCTATAAAGAAAACTTGCAGAATAACTTTAAAATACAGCAGACACAATAAAAGAGACAGAGAGAGAGATATAAAAATGGCCAGAATACGGCTGGAATATTTTAAACTACAGCACACAGATATAAATAAACAACATGAATGAGCAATGCTTTCAATGGTAAGTTTCAAAAAGATTCGAACATTATATCTCCTCCAGTGTTTCAGAGACCATAGCTTCAGAACCATGTTCAAACAATAACCTATAAAGAGAAGACCTCCCACTTCATGGAAAACAACAAGTAGTCAAAGCACTCGGTAAATGTCTCGAATGTAACAAAATATTAAAATACAATTGAACCATAATATAAATTAACAGTCACCCCCAACTACCAACCACAGAAAACGTAAACATCACAGTGTTAAGAGAAGCGTCCATCAGATGTCAACAACATCCAAACTTATATTTTTCTCTCGCCGTGTTGGATCTCCTAGTTAAACCTCGACACTGATTCGATGTGATATAGATGTCTAGCTCTTGCTTCGTTGTGAGGTCATCGGGAAACGTGTTACGACTCTTGTTAGTTGGGTCACGATACTGTCCTCAAGCATATTTCTTCAAGAGCCCCTATTGCCTTGGGTCATTTGCCCGAAACGCTCTGCGTACTAGTGGCTTTAGGTATTGTATGTACTACCTCTATCTTTAAATCAAACAGAATGTTTGTACTGTAACCCTGCAACTATGTATGTACTTTTCCTAAATAAATTATTATTTGTTAGGAGGATGCCTGATATCGTCTGAGTTCATTAGATGCCTATCTAAGATTTTCCACTTTAACATCTTGTGGGGAGTGGGATCTGCCACTTCCTTAATCAAAAGTAGCCAGAAGTCAGTATATCTTTGCTGAACTATCATAGCCACTAAATCATCACTACCAACTTACAAACACTTAATTTCCAACCGTTGCCAGGTAGAGACAAATCTTCAGGCACATGTATTTACCATAGGGAAGAAGATTCTCATGCTGTCATCAGGAGAAAACTTTAGGAATGCTTCATGCTGATTATTTGGTCAAACACTTAAGCATAGATCAGCAACTTTACAAAATTTCTCTTAAGACTCTTAATCTACAAATATGATCAGTATACTGAATAACCAGTCTAGAGAGATATGTCAAATATTTTATGAACAAATAAATTAATATATTAATTTGAAAAGATCTTTGGATTGTCTAAAGTATATTTTTTTCCCCAGGCACAATTGTACATTGGACCTACTACAGAGTAGCTGCCTCATCTTATTCCTGGTCTCTGGAAGAACCCTCACCATGTGAAATGCTTTGATAAAGTATTGACTCTCCTGTGTACTATAATGTTAGACACGTTTTATGAAGTTCTTCAAGCATTGCAATGTCGATGTCGACCTTCTTGACATAAGACTATTGACAGCTATCCAGACTGAATAAATAATTTGCTGTCTAACTCATTAACCCTTCAGGGTATTAGACCACTAGCTGGCCCAACGAAATCTATTCATGGAGCTAGCATGATTGTCAATATGGGAAAAACTAATAAAGCACTACTCTTGATCCTAGTGTTTTTTATCAATCAAACTGTGATATGCATGCAGGACACATGTGACAAAGGTGAACAGAAGAGCAAAAGGTAAGACTTTAGAATCATCTGTCATATAATAAAACAATCCTCTCCTATATATATTAGAAAAGTTTGGTTCCAGATCTATTCAAAACTTGGACTTGTACAGTATATTAAAATTATGGTGATCTGAGCACAAAATGCTTGCTTTCCACCTACTGTACTCTTTCTTCTTTTATATTTTTTAGAACTAATGCATACTATTAAGTTAAATGGTATTAGGTCACCTTATTGCACTTCCTTTTGATATTTACAGTACTGTACTTATTGCATTTTCAAAATCTTTTGATTTCTCCTATTTCTCTTTCTCTCTGTAAATGAGAAATGTTTGCTTTGCCATTTTCAATGGTGTCATTAATGATTGCATTTATTCTCATTTTGGCCAGATCACAGGAACTCTCAGCTACACTTAGTGGGTTAGGTGATGATGTCTGACCCAGTGTAGTGTCCGACTTTCGATACATATTAAAGAACAGGGACACCACAGCAATTCTGTGAAATATCACCAATAAAATGACACTTTTTTATTAGTTTATGTTCTCATGGGAATGAGTGACATTTTTATAATCCTAAATTAAATAAATTCAAATTTATACATAGTGAATATCTGAATACAGTACTGTATATATATATATATATATATATTGATTTTTTTATTACATGAAAAAATATATAAATTCTTACATTTAGAAGCCAAACATAACTACTATATCAAAATAATCTTAAAGTGATTGTATAGCATAAAGTTTCATATCCAAAGATTCATCAGAAATGCATTTCTACAGTGCAGTAGTTACTGGTACTGTAGCTCAATCAACATTTTACAGTTATCTAACATTGATAATAAATATTTTAACAATTTGATAATGTATATTTTACATACTGTGGGTTTATATCCTTGATAATTACATTTCCAGGTATCTTTTATATGATGTCAATCCTGGAGAAGGATTTAATCTTCGCCGGGATGTGTATATTCGTATTGCAAATTTGGTTCGAAAGCTGAATGATGCAGATAACTGGGTTTTGGTATGTAACGTAATATACTGTATTTTAATTATAGGGTAATTTTGTTATAATGAAATGAAACATACATATATCTGATATGTATGTAGTATGGATGTTTATAAATGTCTTAATCTACACGTAGGTATATAATTCTATCATGCACCTAGGTTAGTGTGGACATTTTCCAAAATTGCTCATCTTATTATATTTGTTTTTAAGGCCTGTATGGCATTCTTCTTCAGATACTTCCACCATGGGGGAACTTGTATCATTGGCAACGTGTGCAGCGTGGAGTGTATGTGCCTTGGAAAAATTTCTTTGATATTGAGAGCCTGAGCAAATGGATACCAGTTGCAGAGTTTTCTGATTACTTGAAAGGTAAAATGGAAGGGGATGATTAGTTATGCTTATTAACAAAACCTAAATCCTTATTTGTGTGTAAGTCTATCATCCAGTCTGTCTTGCTCCATAAAAATGTAGCACAATTATTTTTTTTTGTGGGCTTTCTACTGACCCCTCGAGTGTCCACCCCGACCAATTGACACACTTTAGTACAAAAGAAATACAGTATCCCATACACTTCAACCCACTTTCCTCACTCTCAACTTGGAAAACCAAACTTTAGAAAAGATGCAGGCGATGAGTCACAATAACGTGGCTGAAGTATCGTGGCGTGAAGTACAATCGACTTGAGCATGGTCCAGGATGGACCGAAACGTCATCGTCCCTTCAACTTCTAGTGTGTGGTCTGGTCAACATACTTTAGAAAAGATCAAAACTACCCCAAATACCACCAAATGTGAACACCGACCATAGCCCACAACCCTCACTTAATGAATGGTATCCACGCCATTCAGTGGCCAGCTCGCCAGACACCAGATTTTAGATGAAGTGCTCTCCCTTGTAGTTTCTGGTGATTTTTACTGTCCTTGCACAGAGGTCACATTCTTCAATATTTGCTTCAATGCATGTTGCTTGGCTTTTGTGTATCTGACTGCTATCTGCTTCAGCTTTGTTTGAGCTTCTCTTACCTTCTGCCGATTGTTGAGCAGAATCAGCTGTCAGAGTTTTCTTACAGCGTGGCTTGGTGCTTGTTGAGTACTGAATTTCACAATAATGCTCATGCAGAAATCCATACAATTGTTTGTCATTATTGTCTAATCTGTTTTGTAATAATGTAACTGCCTTTAGCATAATCCAGACTGTGTGTATCTACTTGCTTTCATGTGTCTGACTCTTCTAAGTTATCAGTAGGCTATGTCTGTGACCAACGAGCAAATTATTAACACTTTAATGACCTTGAAGCATTACATTACAGACTGAACTCCCACTCAACACAGCCTGCCTATACATACAGATTACAGACACCCTGTTTGTACTCTATATGTGTATGTAGATGGCCATTGGATACCATGGCTGTCTCCCTCCACCTCCCAAAGACAGACTCTTGGCTAGCATTCCATCATCAATTAGTTTTTGGGAAGTTTGCTTCTTGCTTTGTAACATCAAGAGCCTCATTTGTTAATTAAATAAATTTTTCCATTGTTCATGTGCTTGCTACCAGGCCAAGGATTGCCACTTATAGGCCTTCTGGCCTTGGTTGTCCTCCTGAGGGATCCTTTTTATATTCTTTCAGCGTTGGTTCCTTGAAGACCTACAATGTCTTCCTTCAAATTTTATACTGAATTGTTCGGCACAGGCTGGGGACTTTGCCTTCGGTCTTCACTTTGCTAGTCAGGAACAATAGTCTCTTATTAACATTTGGGAATTTGTGATTTTTTTTTTTTGCTTTTGTGTACTAGTAAATATAGATATGTAAGTTGGCTACTAATCTATGTATCCCAGATTCGGTTTGAATTTAATGATTATGTAACTTTACCTGGATTTTGGCAATTAGACCTGGTGGTTCAGGCTTGTGAGGTTTGAATTAGTGAGAAATTGATGTATAATCAAAGTACAGTACTAAATAGTAACAATGTGAGTATCTTTTACAAATTAAAATTACTATACAGTATATGTACTATACTAATAACTAAAATTATTATATATTTAAAAAATAGTATTTAAAGGATATACAGCACTTGAAGAGAGGTTTAAATATATGCACATTATATTATTTTTATACCAATGATGCTTAATGCACATTATATTATTTTTATACCAATGATGCTTAATTATACCATTCTGAGACTTGTATTGTACTCAAGACATTAATATCTGAAATTCTATTTTTATACCTAAATAGATGAAGGACCGAGAGTGGGGTCAGTGTATGTGCTACAGCATTACGCTGAAGGATGGGAAGGCAAATGGGAAGAAAAATATGATAAAAGAAAATGCATTGACAAGCACAACTTTGAGTACCGGTATGTATGACCATCATCCTGTGTGTCACAGACTCACAATGTCCCATAATATGTGGGGAGATACCATTTACCTTAGGCCTTTTCCTAGATATACAACAGGACAACTTGCAAAGATCCCAGTCATGGTGGGAAGGAAAAAGAAACAAGAACCTAATGGGTGGTATTAGTCCTTGATTGATCATTTTGGAACTATCTGTTGGAGTATCTGAGAAACATGCTCATACAGGAACATTTCAGTTCTGTTTTCTATAAATATATATACAGTTAAAGGCATGCAAATACTGTTCTGTATTCAAGTAAAAAAAAAATGTGGGTATACTTACACAGTTGGGGCAGTGTGTTGCAATGCATTGGTCTTAGGGACGCCATGTTTCTTAAAACCAAGGTTTATCCAGTAGCTTATTCTTTTTGGTCCTAATTTATATACAAGGTACATTGGTGTTCTTACATTCTTGCAACGCCACTAACATGCATAGTGTTTCAAGCTAATGTATTGCAAATCCATTCAATTGAGGTTACACTGTACGTGTACTGGATTTCTACCGACCATCTGTTTAATACATTATTGTCATTTTTACAGAGGAGGTGATGATGGCTCATGGGTTGGGCAAGTATGGGGTACAAAAATTCAGACAGAAAACTTTACATGCCTCTCTATCCAAGGACAAGCATCAACTTTAGTGCCTCTTGTTACACAAGATTTAAAGAGGAGGTAATGTAAACTTAATTTTGTTTTATCGAAAGTATAAAGCTATGGCAACGATAATTGTCTTATTTATTGAAAATACACATTTCAAGAAACCAAATTGGAGCTATAATTGAAGAGTTAATCATGTGTGAAGTTAGAATAAATGTGTGAATAACTAATTGCAAATTGAGGAAAGACAACTGAGAAGCTACATTATTGTATTCTACATTTGTGGTATAACAAGTAAAATAATTTGATGAATGTTATTGAATATTTGTCTGTATTACAACCTGTTCTCAAGTTGAATTATTTAAGTACAATAAAGGGACATTGATGTACCAGGCTTGACAATGTTAGATCTATAGGAATGTTTGAAATAGGCTGGTGTATTTGTGCCTAAGGTTTATAGCCCATGTTAGTTGGCTAGGTTTATATGGCTGATATTTTACATAATGTCACACTGAGAATGTGCTATATATTATTACCTTATTAGTCTACTTGACAGATCTGTGTTCATTGTTCGAGCTGAAACCATCTTGCACGATGAATATGGAGGCAAGTGGTACTGGAATGCTAGGAGAAGTATGCGCTTTGCCCACCACCTGCGAGAAGAAGCTGCAAGTTTTAGAAGAAAATACTTGAACTCGGAAGATGTACAAGATAAAACTGTAGTGAAAGAGGACTGGCGAGATACACAAGTAAGTTTGACAATTCTGAAATTTTAGATCTTGTTGCATATCTTACTTCTTCTTACTCAGTAAAAATAATTTTTGATGGTTTATAATTACTGGAAGTATAAGTCTTGCAGAATGAATTGAGTTTGTATCAAGTAAATAATAAAATGCTCAAAGTATGTTAAAGATCATGCTCACTTTCACATGCATTAAGTTGAAGGTAGAGTTCATTCACAGAAGCAGGATGAAAGGCTCTTAATGTTATTAAAATTCTATTTAATTTCACTCTGCATATGAAGTTGTTTTAAGATGTACAGCTTGCGTACAAGTGGCAATGAGTTAATTTGAAGTGAAGAAATGTATGTGGTTAGGCTACATATCAAGAAAACAAGATTAACTCATAGGTACTTTATTGTTAGATTTCAGAACTACCTTGTTCTGCATATTCACTCTTCTCCTAGTATAAGTTTCTGATTATCAAGATAATTGGACATTTTGCTTTCCCACTGCTCTTATTGACCACATGTTCCTTGGAGAATCTGACTCCTTTGACAATGATCATTTTGTCAATTATATCTACAGTAGAATCTCTTGAGAAACTTATTTGAAACAATTTATCTAATTCAATATGTTATCTTAACCTGTGTACATACATTCTTAACACAATCTCATGCAATTAACACTAGGAGATAGCTTGATATGTTTTAATACATAATTCAATTTGAATACTGAGTATAATTGGCATGGCATAGACCAGTAAGTGAATGGGTCACTGTGAAGACACAGCCTCGACTCCTGGCTAGAAACACCTTGATGGACCCAACAGGATTCCATTGACTGACAATGGTATACCAAATACTAAACTGACAAACATGCCATTCACAAGTACACATTATGTATTTCATATCAATTACTGTATGTAATAACCGCTTCTGACAAGGGCTACCACAAAACGGATAACTTTCATGCGCGATGAATTAATAGTAGTACTGTACTGTATACATTTACATAACTAACATAACAAATTACAGTTTCTCACTTCATAGCTAAACTTTTTGTCAGGGTAAAATGACAACAGATACCCAATACAATACAGGCATCATTCAGGGTAAATAAACGAGCACATGGAACAATGGATCTCTTGAATATTCTATAAAATGGACAGTGCTATAGTCATTCTGGCTAAGAGATTTCTTTGCATAATTACATGTTGTAAGGCTTATCTTCCTATGAATAAAGTTAGATAGCACTGGTAAATATTAGGAATGAAAGCATAATAATTAATAAGAATAACCCATATACTGTTCAGGTATTATTTCTGACTCAATTGTATAGTTAGTAAAGATGTTCATATTACCTATATCTGGTTATAATTATTGTTTGTACTGCAGCCAAAACGAGGTGTAGCTGTTGGTGGCCCTTACATTGCTGCTCATCTTCGGAGAAGAGATTTTGTACATGCAAGACATGATGAAGTGCCGAGCTTAAAGAAGGCTGCCCAGCAAATTAAAGAATTGCTGAAAAAAGAAAATCTCACTACTGTTTTTATTGCAACTGATGCTTCACTAGAAGGTACATCTATATTCACTGTATGTACTTATATATGTACAGTACAGTACAGTAATACTCTACATATACAGTAGATTTACTTGTGTAGACAAAAGAGGGTGAAAACAAATTGATTATTAAATATTTAATGTTTGCACATAGTTGGGTGTGATCCTCTGCACCTTTTCAGGATCATGGCATTCTCAGGATACCTAACGCACCAAATCTTCAGGGACATATATATATATATATATATAGCACGAGGTGCCTTTTCAGGACCATACTGAGGTGCAGGGAGCTACTGGGGAAAAGCCACCTAGCCAGGATAACATATTCAGAAGGATCTGTTCTCTAGCCCAGAGTAACAAGGTCCCAGTTACCATCAGTTCAAGCTGATCCCAGTTACCAGCTTGTACTGTGTTAATTACCAATTAAAATACACATGCCTAGTGCCCTCAGTCCTATTAGGTGATGACAACACTGCAAGGCAGGTGTTGCCAAACCCTGTCAACTTCGTATGGATCTTAACTGTGCTTGTGATAGTTTGTAAAGCTCAGTCATTTTACAGCAAAATGTGACATTGTTACCTTAAGCAGTGGCATAGCTAAGTACACAGTTGTGTGTAAACACTGGTAAGGGTTGTCAGTCTTTTGAGTGTCCCGTCACTGTCTTTGTTCATGCCAGGTGGCTACTCAGAGCTTATTTGTGTGAGCATTTACCAGTTAGTGGTCAATTTCTTGTTTTCTTGTTAAGACACACTGGTATGCTTTAACACTGGTTGCCTGTGGGGTGCAGGTTGTATTGAGTTGAGTGACTATGTACCAGCTTGGCTCTTGGTTGAAGGTCATAATCTATGTAGCTGTGGTGTCTAATGTCAGCTCTCTGCATACCCTTGTTTGGTTAAAAAGTGGTGGTGTCGCAAATGTTTTATTCCTCTATTTTGTTCCAGTGGGTAAGCGTTAAGGGACATGGTTTAAAACTCTCGCTGGTGCATGTGGCTAAAATGCCAGAGTTTTCTGATACTGTAGAAAATAAGGTGCTGCCTCTTATGCTTTGCCTTGTTAGCAAAGTGATGACTTTCATCTGCTGACCTGTGAAATATACAATGAGATGTCCATGCTTCTTGACCATCACTAGATGGATGTCTTACTGTGTAGCCCACCAGTTAAATGTAAGAGATCAGAGCCAAGCAAGGTGACGGACAAGTTTCCTGGTAGTTTGTGGAAACCTCAGAGTGAATGTATAATTTCAAAATTATATCCTTTCATCACGATACCTCCCAAGCATGGTGCACTTCAGCGTAGACCTTGATCCATGGAATCACATGATAACTGCTTTATTGAGAGAAAAGTGGTAAAAGTGCAGTTTTGGATTTACAGTATCTGGAACTTAACTTTTCTCCCTTCCCCATATAAGTGCTAGATTTTTAGGACTGCTACTCCTTGTGTAGAGGGAAGGGGTTCAATGTGCAATTTTTATATCTTCCATAACTCAATTTTGAATGTTTTAAAAAGAGCAAACTTGCAGTTAGGATGGGATGCCAAGATGAAATTCAGGTTCTCCTTGAAGGCCCCCTACATTTTCTCATAATATTACCCCTGAATTGTTCTTTTACTATGAATTGTATTTTTACAACTTTACGAGTTTCACATGTAGACACAAATATATACTGTACCTTATTTGCCAGCATAAAAGACACACCTTATTTACCGTATAAGGATATTTTTTTGGGGGGAAAAAAATTTAGTATGTTTCATCATACATTTATTGAAAGTGATTTTTTAGGGGAAAACATGATTTTGTGCATGTAAATACAGTGGTACCTCGGTTTAAGAGTTTAATCCGTTCCTGGAGACAGCTCGTATTCCGAAAACTTGTATTCCGAAGCTAATTTCCCCATAAGAAATAATGGGAAATGAATTAATCCGTTCCTGACTACCCCAAAAACCCCACATCAAACTAAATTTTTATACCTAATTCATCTAAATAAACCTACAAAACTATGTTCAAGTTATTACTTACCTTGCTGTTGGTGTATGGAAGATGGTGAGGAGGGGGGAGAAGAAGAGGTGTTACTGTTTGGAAGGGGAGTCCCCTTCCATTATAACATCAGGCAGTGAGGACTTCACTGGTGTGCACTCTCTGGCACGTTTTGCCTGCATACCACTAGGACTTGCTTGTCTTACTAAGAATCTGTCTAAAGACACTTGTTTTTCCCTACATTTTAAGACTTGTTTGTAGTAAGACATCACATTGTCATTTAAAAGGTCAATGCAACGGCCTGCTACAGCTTTATCTTGGTGAGTTTTTTCAACAAAACTTTGGAGTTCTTCCCATACTTCACATATTTTCTTAATCAAGAAGGGACATCCTCTACTGCCTCTACTCACAGCTATTTTCTTGGGTTGAACCTTACCAATGGCTTTCTTGAGATCCATGGCGAGATATATAATAACAAACTTTTATTCTCAAATGGCCAAAAAAACGACAAAAAAATGTAAATCCCTGTGAAGAATTCAGGAGGGATAGTCACTGGGCCCGAGACACTGGTAAACTGAAGCATGATCGCCGTGCCACCACGCGCTAGTCGGCCTGTACATGTATCAACAAACTCGTGTTCCGAGGCAACCCTCGCCTTCCGAGGCAAATTTTTCAAGCCAATCCTGCTCATATTCCGAAAAACTCGTATACAGGGACACTCGTATTCCGAGGTACTATACTATAATATATATGTACTATATAATGTACATAATATAATGTACTATAATATATATATAGTTGATGGTGGACCAGAAACATGCATCCTATGTTCTGCCAAAGATGGTACTGTATTTACCATAAGAGAGATAACAAGTAAGTATGAGACAGGGTGTGTTAAGATTATAAGTTGGTTATGAAAGGGCTGCAATCTTTACACTCATAATTCTTCAACAGAATTTCAGGAACTTGAATCGTTCCTTCCTGGTTATAAGGTCGTGCGCTACGAACCCAGCCCTGACTTCTTTCACAAGTGGGGTGATGGTGGTGTTGCAGTAGTGGATCAGATCATCTCTTCTCATGCCAGGTTAGTTTAGGAATGTATAATTAATAATAATGTTTATTCAGGTAAAAGTACATTCATTCAAAATGAGTTACAAACAGAATGTTGGCTTTCTAGATAGAGCTAGTATGTACTATGCTTAAAGCCACTAATATGCACAGCATTTTGGGCCATAATAATTCACTGTATCAGGGGACAGGCAGCCAGAGTGTATTCATACACGTTAGGCTTTTATCGAGCTATATATGAACGAGTTTGGGTGGATAGACATAGAAGCTGCCTCGTATGGGCTAGTATGCCTTCTGCATTTGTTTGTGGATACATGGCATCACAAGGTGTTTGAATGCAATGTGTTCAGTGAAGTTAATGGAGTCTTGTTCATTGAACGATGGGTTCATTGTTGGCCCTGATAACTTCAGGTACTGCTGCATACCAAACTTAAAAAGATCTCAGAGTCTAGAGGTGATGGTCATTGCAGAATGTGTAAGTATTCAGAAATTGAATTCATCACTGTCATTATTGACTGCCATCAGGTACTCTCCATTTGGTAGTGGTTCATAGAATTACATTGATCCAACTGTCCAAGATTCTACAGGTAGGGGTGAAAGTTGCAGTAGTGTTAGTCTTGAAGTATCCACCATAGTTTGATAAAGGATAGTCACTGTGCATGGCCTTTGCTTAATATATGCCAAGAAATTGTATTATTTCTCATTGCAGTCATTTGGTCCTCCTGATGTGCAAGCTGTCTTAGTGAAAGTTTTTATATTCTCTTTGGTGAAAGGAAATAAGCAATATTGTTTGTTTCCATCAACCAGTTTTTCTGTATTTTGAATGTCATTTCAATTTCAGACCTCTGCTCTTTCCATTATTGATCTTGTCCTCACCAGGTACTTCACTGGGTCATATGAATCCACATTCTCCTTTCGTATCCAAGAAGAGCGAGAGATTCTGGGCTTTCAAGAGAGAACAACTTTCAACCGACTCTGTGGGAAGAAGAAAAGTTGTGAGCAACCAGCAAAATGGAGAATAACTTATTAAAATGCTAGTTTCGTGATATATTTGAAGTAGTTAGTTTTTCTTCTAAACTTGAAGTTTAGAAGAAAACTAAACTAGAAGAAAATTTAAAGTTTTCATCAGTACTGTACATTATTCTTACCATTAAAGTTTTTTTTTGTGTCTGAAAAATGAAGATATGTAATAGTTTTACTAATGGTGTTATTTAGGTTTGAGAAAGGGTTCAACAAAGATATACCAGGCATTTATTTTTGAATATTAATATGAGACAATGCCACAAATCAGAGAACTTGCTTTAGGCAGCTGGCATTTTCAGGTAGGTAACACTAACACACACTATTGCTCCACATGCTCGTTTATTTTGCCTGAATGATGCCCGTACTGCATTGGGTATCTGTTGTCATTTTACCTTGACGAAAAGTTTAGGTATGAAGTGAGAACTTTAATTTGTTATGATAATTAATAGTAGTTCTGTACTGTATGCATTTACAATACTAATTCATGGTTCATAAAAGTTATCCGTTTTGTGGTAGCCCTTGCCAGAAGCGGTTATTACATACAGTAATTGATATGAAATACATAATGTGCGCTTGTGAATGGCATGTTTGTCAGTTTAGTATTTGGTATACCATTGTCAGTCAATGGAATCCTGTTGGGTCCATCAAGGTGTTTCTAGCCAGGAGTCGAGGCTGTCTTCACAGTGACCCATTCACTTACTGGTCTATGCCATGCCAATTATACTCAGTATTCAGGTTGAATTATGTATTAAAGCATATCAAGCTATCTCCTAGTGTTAATTGCATGAGATTGTGTTAACCTGTGTATACATTACATTCTTAAGATAACATATTGAATAAGATATAAAAAATTTCAAATACATTTCTCGAGTATCCTTTTAAGAAAAGATTAGTTTTTTAATGATACCTTCACTTTGGTTTATATATTTTTATTATACCTGTGGTATAATTGTTGTGCACAAGTATAATAAAATAAATTTTGTAATCAAATAAGTGTTAAGATACATATATTCTGAAAAATTTACATGAAGGCTTTGTGGATGCCTCAAGGTCCATTGGAAACCATAAAACTTGGCATAAACTACTGTATAGGGTTTTATGTTATGTAATGTTTGCTTTAACCAAACCTGTTGTTATTATAGTATTAAATAGAAATACTGGCTCTAGTATTTAATACTAATAGCACTTGAGGAGCTGTATTTTATTACAGTGCTGCAATCAAGAAGTCTACGACCTTTCTCTGTTTCCAAGTTCATCCCCAGGGTTGGTTTAGTATTATTTACTGTATATATATGTTGGTATTACTGTATATAGAAATTATTTGTTTTTGATAGGAGCCACTAATATAATGCCTATGAAGTAAATTTTAGTTACATTATTCTTAACACTGCCCTACCATAAGTACAACATATGTAATTAAATATGTAACTCAGTGAAGAAGCCAAATCACAGTACTGTACTGTAAAGTCTAACTGAAGCCAAGAGTTTACTCCATTGGTCATTGTAAAAGGGTTTCAAACTATCCTATCAAATACAAATTTCCCCAACTAATTTTCTTGATTTTTTTCTTTTAATTTGTTATAAAGTTACCTTTAAGCAATTGTATTTTATTAACATGTTGGCTTTTGTCCTTGTCAACCCCAAAATTTAACCTATTTTTCTTCTTCAGGCTTTAAGCTTCTAGTTAGTACTATGCTATATTCCATAATACCTGATTTATCAATATAGATTGTCAAAATCACCTACCAAGATCAAATGTGCAATATTTGGTCTGAACACTGATTCAAGTGAATTGGTGTCTGAAATTATCAAATGTATCCCTGTTACCTAGCAATAAAATAGGTACCTGGGTGTTAGTCAGCTGTCACGGGCTGCTTCCTGGGGGTGGAGGCCTGGTCGAGGACCGGGCCGCGGGGACACTAAAAAAAAAGCCCCGAAATCATCTCAAGATAACCTCAAGAATGTATGTTAGCATCAGGAAAGGATCAAACAAATATTCATCTGCTTTCACAGATACAAAAGTACGAGACGACACATGGCTATGAAATATAAACTCGTGCATATACTGGATGAGGTAGGCATGAGAGAGTAGGTTCTAGGGCTGACCACTGGGACTGTCATTCAATTCTCATGTACTGTATGCAAGTGATTATCCATGATAAAATATTAATTAAAAATTTACCTGTTATGCAGGCTTCCAGTTCTGCTTATCTTCAGCACGTTAGATGAAACTTGCTGTTATTTCTGCAGGGAAGCTGGGACTTCATTAGAATTGGATCCGGTAGTTTTGAGTACTAAGACTGCTCTCCTAGCAACGATAAGAAGTGCTGGCAGACAGTTTTCAGTGGCAAAATGGCATCTATTGTCACTTACTAGTGTTGAAGTGAAGGAAATTATCTAAGTTTTCATACTGTGTTTAATGAGCTAGTGTCAGTTTTGTTAGATTTGCACTCATTGAAACATTTCTTTATGGGATGTAGTGATCCTCTTGTATTGTTTTTTACTGGGCTGGGGTTGATCTATTCCTAGATTATTCCTGCCCTTGGGAGGGGGGGGGGGGGGCGCAAGTTTTTTTTTTTTTTTTTTTTTTGCAAGGGCTCTTGTCCCTGGTGGAGTGTCTCAAGGGTGCCTATCATAGCTAGTTTGACCTCTTTCAGCCAGTGTGAAAGCAGAGAGGAACTGCCAAGGCAGAGCCTAGGCAGCAGCATTTTATTACTTCAGTGCTCTGCTTATTTCAAAATTAAAAAAAAATTAGACTGGAGAAAAATAAAGCACCTAGTTCACTAGCTCCCCTTAGCTAATATTGCTAGAATCTTTTGACATTTTAGATATGCCAGGCTCCTGCAACAATCTTGAACCACCAGATACAAGCACCATATTACATCGTGTTGCCTCTTTGGTGCAGGGGAACACATGCAGGAATCCAAGATCAACTCACTACAGAGGTAAACTTCCTGCAAACATTTTTTGCACAACAATTAACCAAGTGGGCTTACATAGAGCACGAGTTGGTTTCAATTTAGATATTCAATCATTGAATGTAATTTAAACACACTTCTGGGAGGCCTCAGTAGCTTCCTAGTGATTGACCTTGGTATCAAGTGCAGCAACAAAATTACCAGGACTCTGGACTTGTGCAAAACTACTGGACATCAGGACCGAAATCTGGTTTGCTCAAAGGTGAGGGAGCATGGGGAAGCAAAACTTTCATAGTTAGAGAGAAAATGGAGACAAGGGAAGCTGTAATTTGCATATGTCAACAACCCATGTTCTAGTACCTAAGTACACCACCAGGTGGCAGCTAAAGTCACCCAGGGGTTCAGCCAACCTGCTTCCACACTTATATAATGCATCCAATTCCCCCCATATGCAAGAACTAAGGTGGATTTGTGGAGCTACTGAGGCGACCCAGAAATGTAATAAAATGGCATTTTATTCCATCTGATTCTCAGTTTCTGGGCTGGCCTCCCTGGTGCATGTTCTAAATGATGCTTCAGTGTAAACTGTCTTTGGGCTAAAAGAAAAATTAATAGAATAACAGAGGCAGAATAACCATTCAGTGATAAGGCCCAAAACCCTGGGCTTGAACCTTGACTGGAAAAGATACCAAAAGCCCCAAGAGTCCCAGCAGGGACGGGAAACATTTAACAGGTAACTAGCAACCAACAGAAATCCAAATATTACTTATAGATACATTAGAAAAGATGGCAGTAATAGTAGTATACTTGCATATTTGTATTCAGATACAAATCAGGCTTGCTGAACAAAACCACCCAATATTGCCTAGCCTTGGAATAAGGGACTTTGTAAATGGGATTGAAAAAGAGCCACAGCTCAGAAAACATTAACATGTAATAAACACCACACAATGGCAAAAGGGTATGATGCACCAACCAGACAAATCAACTATTTGTCACCAAAAACCCCCAGACAAAAAGCATACTTGTTCTTGATCAAAAGGGACAAAGGAGGATGGGGGGGGGGGAGCCCAAGCTCCAGGATGTAACAAAATCCATTCCCGCAGGAAAGAGTATAGCATTTGCAAATGCAACTACAGTACCAGAAACCAGCGAAATAATTTTCAGCTGAGGGAAAGAAATCACACCCAAGTTTAGATAATAGGAAAAAATCCTCATTCCAAGGACTCCAGAGGAAAGGAAACCAACTGAACAAGAAAACAGGCCCAAGACGACTTTAGTAAAGGAAGACAGTAAACATCTACCTAAAAAGGCAAGTAAAAGAGGCTCCACCAAGTCCAAATGGAGGGAGGCAATAGTATTGGGTATGTAATAAGTGCTCCACAGAGCCAGAACAGAAAGGACTGACCACTGGCACAAAAATGGAGGACAACCAGCAAAGAGAAAGGGGAACTGGATGAACCACAAACTACTTCACCAGGAAGAAAAATGCCACAAATACAAATGTCCAGTAAGTAATTATCAAAAGAAAGCACCACACCAGGAAGACTGTAGCACCATAAAGTTGTGGATAGACTCCAAACATCCAGGCAAGTGTTTTGCTTGGATCATTAGAGATCAGAACTCTGCCCTCAAAAGTACGAGACTTGTGGCACCAATTAGGCCATGGATGCCCACTCAAGGATCGTGGAAAATATGGCCCGATTGGTCAGACAATAGTCCTACCAACCAGGCTATAGGTAACCTCTTCAGTAATTCAAGTGAGTGACATCACAAACACTGGTGGATAACATCTTATCCAGACAAGTCTTTCTTGATCGCCTGGAAGAGGTGATCAAATGTATTTATTATTTCATAAAATATAAAAAATCAATATCTTTATAGTGATTGTAAAGAACCCAAGAGGTAAAATCCTTATCTTTTATACAAGAAAACATCTGTTTACTGTAAAACAAGATCTATTTGGTACAGAATAATATTGACTGTGTACATAATTATACATCAAGAAGAAACATCAAGGAATAGGTTCATGTTACAATTTATTTGCTCAGTTCACACACCAAAACTTGTCTGGTCTTTCCTTGTGTAGTCACGTTTGTTTTGTACTCTTCATAAGCATTATTAGAATTGTGAAAATGTGCCAAGCCTTCGGGTGAAGCCTTTTGAAAGCCCTCAGTGCTCATCTAAAACCCCCCACTTTTGAACTAATTTTCAACAAATTAGCCATCAAATTCTTACAATCTTTTTAGCTTCAGGCACTAATATTACCTAAAGTATTCTCATCCCTTACTTATCAAGTAATTTGTGTATGTACATTTTTTCTATTTCCATGTACGGTGATCGTAAATGCTACAACGTAACACAGTTACTAGGAAAGAACAGACAAGGTTGTGATGTAGCTTTCTAGTACTCTGGGCTTCATGTCCACTGTCTTCATCTGAGTTGGAACCGAGTATATTGTCTAGATTTACAACAGGAGAAAGGAAATAAGTTTTTAAGTACTAGATTGCCGAGTGATGCACAGTTTGACTGTAACATTTCAAAAACTAGAACTTAAAAATTAGGGAAATAACATGACTTAGATATCAATCTCAAAACCAACTCAGTTATGTAAATTGCTTAAGACACAGCATTTCTGTCCCATTCTGTCTTAAATTCCTCTTACAAATTCACCAACAACCTACTTTAACATTTAGTGATTAATTTATCATAAATTAATGTTGCAAAGATGCCAATTAACAAAAACTATAGAAGGATCTTCCTTGGAAGCCAAAAATCATAATAGGGTCATAAGGATTAATTCTGACTAATGTTAGAAAGCAGCTCAGGTTTCTTGTAAATAAATTCTGAACATAATCTAGTATTGGTGGAAGATAATGCATCCAAATGTGGCACTCGGGCCAAGAGCACAAAAATGCCAACCGAATCTACATTAAAATTTGGTGGAACATCACAATAAACAAACCCGAGTACAGCTCCTGCGACGAACACTAAGACAACCCGAGATCTAATGGGTTATTCATTCCTTGACTGTAATGGCCACTTAAAAAGGTGCCCAATGCTCCTTGCATCACAATGACACAGTAACTGTACATTTGTTAAGTAGCCCAGAACCTGGTAGAGCAATTAGGGCCTAAATCACCCACATTACTGCTAGTGACACTTCAAGTAAAATATTTGAGCATGCTTTAAAATAAAGCATGTATTTGTATTATTCAGGGCCATATTAGAAATCTATTGCTACTTCAGCATTATGCTAAAATACATTACAATCTCAAAATAGAAAAATAAATAAAAAAAGAAAAGAAAAAATAAACTCTTCAATACTGTCTGACTCAATGTGCCCCTGTTATCACTGATTGCCCAATGGTCTTGTGCTTTCAACAGCTGCACTTTTATCTAAGCTATGCTGGCAAAACATCGTGGCTTTTATGGGTGCAAATGCCCAGTTTTTATGGTAAATTAAGTGGGATTTGTTTTATCAAAACTTCTATTATAATATTGACTGTACATCAGGTATATAAATACAACTGGAAGATTTAAAATGGACAGGTCAAGTTTCAGTTCATATAAATGAAGTCTTGTCACAAAATAGTTAATAAATAGCAATTTGATTCCACCACAAAAACTGGGCTAAGGCTCCTCTGCGAGGATGGTACTGGGCATGGCAAGAAGTCATGGGTGGTCACAGAGTGGATGACGTCGGCGTGTGAATGAGTCCGCCTGGGGTGGGGATGTGCGGCCGCTCTTCCAACTTGTCATATTCCAGGTGAAATTCCTTTGGAACTTTCCGCCAATTCTGAAAATGAATAATAAGATATATTAAGTCATGGACCAAACATCTCTATCATCCGAAATAACCTGCATTGAATGTAATGAAATGCTATTTTCTGGACGAGTCCCGGAGGCTCTTCGGAGCTATACCGGGCCAATATGTATGTACAGTATTAACCGTGGCATCGGTCAATTCGAATTAGTTCTAAACCTACTGGGGACCATGAGCCAGAACCTGGACCCCCTCAGAAAGACACTAGGAGCAATGGCATATAGAAACCTGCATGTAGTTGGAAGCATTCTATGTCTGCCATCTGCAAAAGTATCACTTTCGCGCAATTGGGAACAATTCCACAACCGTAATTTTTCTCACGGATGTTTGTCAAGGATGCAGGTCGCGTCCCAAATTAAAATATTAGTTAAAATTCTAATTTTTATCCAATCATTCTGGGACTGGTTTCAAAATGAGTGCTAAAGTCTTCCTGTTTTCTTCCATACACTACATGGCATCTTTGGTCAGCATTCCATGTGGTGGGCCTATTGTTTATGTGACTAAGCTTGTGATCGCTGTGCCCTCCTCTCGCGTCCAAAACTTGTGCACTTTCCGGCAATTATCCTCAAGTTATATTTTTTCCCTGTGTCTTTAAACACTATATTTACTACAAGATGGATTGGGATCAAGAACAGAGCAGTTCCATGATGAAAGCAGGGAAAGAATCAGCCCAGAAGGATAAGTAGGGTTTACCAAAAGTACTGCCGAGTGAGGCTCACACCAACCAAGTTCCAGGCTTTAGTGGAAGAATTTTCAGATATTGAGACTGAAGAAACTGTGATGTAGATAGTCAACTCTGATACAGAAACAGCAGGTGAGGATGAATTGGATAGCGAGGAGAGTAAGGATTCTGATGGGGATATCGAAACACGTGCAAGGCCTGCTATTCGAAAGCGTGCTGCACGTAGCGATCACACCAAATCTACTCCACCAAAAAATGATGCTAATGGCTAGTCTACCGACAACACTCCACCACTTTTAGACAGCTTTACAGGAACACCAGGCTTGACTGTACCAGTACCTACCACTCCTTTGGGATTTATAGTTATTTGTGATGAGAGTTGCTTGAATTTATGATATATGAAACAAACGTGTAAGCTTCACAAAACATAGCAAATCCTTCTAGCACCACCACAAATAGGTGGGATGAAGTAAGTGTAAAAAGAGACTGCAAGATATGCGTGACTGTCAACATTGACGGGCATTATGAAGTTGCCAACGATGAGAATGTACAGTACTGGCAAATGGGTAAATTGTGACATGTATCTTATTTTCTTTCAATACGTATATGACTTTGAAACGATATCAATAGATTGCAAAGTATTTTCATTCTCATAACAACAATGCCATTCCCAAAGACAATGAAGACAGACTTGTAAAAGTTAGAACAGAGATGCAATACCTAACAAGCAAATTTACAACATTCTACATTCCTCAAACAATTGAGTTTGGATGAAGGCACATGTTATGGTGTTGCCGACTATCTTGCAAGGTTTATAATCCAAATAAACCTGATAAGTATGAAGTAAAGTTGTACATGCTTGCTGAATCCACTACTGGTTACATGTATGATTTTGAAGTATATGCCAGAATTGGGGAAACAAAGATTGAGACTTATGGGGCTTGATTGAACCCCTGAATTAATTTATAATACATTTATAATCCTGTGGAAAGATAAGCAAGTTGTTTCACTCATCACAAATTGCCACAATGCAGAGACACAACAAGTGAAAGGAAGGAATCTAGTACGCAAACCCGACGGAACATCTTCAGTGCAACAAGTAACTGAACAAACCAAATGCAATATGCGACTATAATTGCATGAAAGGTGCTGATCATTTTTACCAGATGGTCAAGTATTATCATTTCACATGGAAATATCACAACTGGACGAAGAAAATCACCTACTTTCTGCAAATGGCTATCCATAATGCATTTATGTTGTACAAGAACTACACAACTGATACAAAGAAAATGACATTGCTCCAGTTTTACAAATCAGGAATTTGGTCACTACTGAAGTTTGAGAGTAATAAGTGGCCTCTCCAAAATAACAACATCCCACATGCTCCTGATGTTCATGAAGATGGGAGTACATTTAATGGCATAAATTTTGCAACACCCAGACCATCAGGTGTGAAGCAGCCCCTATTTTCCTCAACACCTCGAGCTGAAAGTTCATCTTGTTAACAAAACAATGTTAACAATGTGAACTATGACCAAGGGGCAGACCCCCCTCTTCTTCACCAGGTGTGTAAAAAAAAAAAAAAAAAAAAAAAAAAAATTATACATCGTCTCCAGGGGAACAGAACCAGCCACCATGATATTATAAGACAAGCTGCACAGTACCCTGTGACAATATTACCTCCTACCCAAGGCCAAACAGTGGCTAAGAAAACCCCAGCTGACACCAAGGGCAGGCAATCACCGAGCAGCAGCAGCAAAAGACCCTTACGGAGGTAGTTCCCAAATGACTTGTGGAAGAGAACCTCAACCTGCAAGGGCAGTACTAGGAAAGAAGGCCCTAGGCACATGCAGCCCCAGTACTTCTCAAAATACTCCGTTCATGCACACCACAACAGAACTACCCCCGCAAGGCACAGCACTGCTTAGCACTGCAAGATTCGAATGACTGCCACTCAACACATCAGCCTCAGGACTCAGGTTGGATAGCCGGTGCGAGGGTTTGGGGCTCCCCCTTCCCCTTGGGGGAGGAGCTGCATAGGCAGGCAGGGGAAGGGGGGGGGGGGGTGACGTCGTACTTGTTTGCTTTTTTCAGATTGGGGAGTTCTGCTTAGTAGTTCGGTTTTCGGTAGCAATGTTTCACCAGTTTGGAATGCCTACCTTTCTAGGTGCCTAACTCGGTAGATGGCAGAATGCTTCCAACCACATAAGGGGTTTCTATAGGCCATTGCTCCTCATTCTACTCTGATATTGTAGTCCCCAGTAAGCTCTTGACTCCATTTGAATTGATTGATGCCACAGCCTAATACATACATATCAGCCCGGTATAGCTCCAGGGAGCCGGGGAAGGGGGGGGGGCCTCTCTCCCCCTTCCAAGTTTTTATTTACACAAATTATTAATATATATATATATTATATACATGCACACACATTATCTACAATGTAACTGCATGGAAAAGATGCCAAGTAGGTATACTTTGCACAATTGGTGAAAAAAAAAAATGCTTCAGATAAATATCAACTATGCACATGCATTAATAGAATACATAAATAATTCTCACCTGAGCATCAAAATAAAAATACGTCCCACGCTCATAATTTGGACCCTTATCGACAGGCGCCATCCCTGGTGCTCTGGTTATCCATACACGGTCTTCCTTGTGGTATCTCCAGTCTCTATTATACCTACAAATGATTTTCTTTAGATTAGGAGCAAAAAGTACAGAGAAAGGTTTCATGACATCAATCACTTATCAATTACACACCAAGAATTTTGGTCCTTAAGACTATTGCCATCTTGTACCGATTCTCTAGGTGACTGCAGTCAGTCAGTCATTGTCATATTTGGACTGTGTTGTGCACGAATGTTTGAATGCTGACGGTGCCCAAATGCAACCAATCGTTTAACAGCATCTCCCAGCATTCATCAGGGCCACACAACCCTTTACAGACAGATGAACTGGCCCAAACTGGATAAGTAGATTTTGTTTGCTAGATGGGCGATTCCTTCCAGACAAACGTAAATTCTTCATTTGTGAATTATTTCTTCTAATGTAGATGTGGACATCAGGCCAGGCAGGAGGGTGCAAGGATAGACTCCCAGGATGCATCTTGCATATTTCCTTCATAATTAAGCTTACCCAATTCAGCATTTTCTAGGTCGTATAGTGCACATCAATACAAGCTTGGACATTGAATGTTAAACAACGTTGTTTATGATCAACCCATGACATTTTTTTCTGACATTGTCACCAATAGAAACAGAAAAACTGACAAGTGGGCCCTTTGAGGATATAATATACCCCATATGCTTTTCAGAACATTTTACTAGAATATCTCTGCCTAGTAATTTTAGTTTGGGATTTAAAAAAAAAATATATATATATACTGTATATCCCCAAGAGTTACAAGCAACTATGGCACAGTTGGCAGGAGTGAACGTTGGGTTCAATCATAATAGAATTAGGTTCAGTGTATTCTGCACAACATCTTTCACATTTATATCACATCACGTCTTCTATTGCCTCTTTTTGATTGTATTTTTCACAAGATAAAAGCAAACTTGTTTACTAACAGTGAGATGATTACAATATATTGCTACAGTCTAAGGGCTTATCAACAGCTGCGATCACTTTCCCAATCATCCTAATATCACATATATTTCTATCTCCTCCTCCATTTTATACAAGATTCCCTCTCCACCACCATTCTTCTGCTTTTATCTACATTCACTTTCAGCCGTTTCCTTTCAGGCACAAAGACAAAGAACTCCACTAATCTAAACCCCCGTCATTCTCCGCTAGAAGAAATGAATCATCCACATACAGTACTTCAAATTCTTACATTCTCCATTTATTCTTATCCAGTTTCTCGGTTATGCATTTCAGATTGTAAACATTATGGGCATCACGAGTCACTCTGCGATGACAAATTTTTTTTACAATCATTAAACATTTTCAAACTTATTTGTTGGTTTATAACAATAAATGTGTCAAGATGAATTGTCTAGTGAATAGATGCAAAATCAAAAGGATATTTATAATAGATTTTGATTCTCTCTGCACGTTGTAGAGCATAAACCTAGTGCGTTTAGTGGCTCCTGCCAAGCAACAATCAAAATGTTCATGTTTTCTTGGTTATATTTTAGGTTACAACTATAACTTTGTTGTCAAAATGTTCGTAACTGAATTCGCTAAAGAGCAGATGCAAAAATTAATTTGAATTTATAATAGATTATGCATGACAGTAATGAATATATGAATGTTCATGAACAGCAATCAGATGATGCATTTCAGTGTCGTCAGAGCATTTACTGTCCGAGTATCCATCTTGAGTTATCTCAAGTAACCTTAACGTAACTCATAACCCTGTTCACATACCATACTCTGTACAACGAACACTCACACGAACATTACAAAACACTGGTGTGCTCCTACTCAGATATTATGACTTGTTTATTAGTGTCTGTATTTTTATATAGTACTGTATTGTAAACCCAATCAACTTTGAATGCAAGCAATACTCGTGTTACAAAAATATAGCTTATAACTGATCATATATATAATACAAACATATTGTGCATTTTCAAGAGTAGAAAACCCACTTTTACAAACTGCTCAGTTGTAACAGTATCACTAGTCAAGAATTTAATCAAATTTCTAGTCGTGCACAAAATTCAAAAGGTGCATTTAAATATAATTTAAAAACAAAATTGCTTCGAGTAATGTGAAACACTCTTTTGCACCAGTACGGCCCGGCAAGGATGCTTGAAAAGATCCTTGCTCCGAGAAAATATTAAGTCGTGTGATGGGATTGAATCCACACCCTTTAACTCCCCAAGCACATCATTACTGACTGAACTGTAATGGGCTTAGTCAATAGTGTGTGTGTGTAGCCGAGGTGTTCAGGGATGAGGTTTCAATTCCATCATACAGCCTAAATGTTTTTTAAGAGATAAATCATATCCTTAAAATTTTATCACCCAGATTTGTTTTGATGCCAAATATCAATCTACCCTGATCTGACCATAGTCCTTTCCATAGGAACAGGGGACTACCGAGTTATACTACTCGGAAAATGTAAAAACTTAAGAGACGAAGGGAAGAACTATCAAGGGAAAGTGCCAAGCCATTACAACTATATAGCAACTTAGAGACAAACTACTGTATAAATTTAAACTTACAGTTCAGCTGCGGCAAGAATTTGTAGTAAATCTCCAGCATTAGAGTAGAACATATAAAAGAGGAGATCTTCTCCATATCTATCAAACTTGACAGGCGCTAACTTTCCTCTGGAATGTGGAAAATTATTTAAATTACTGTCAAATATTTGCTCAAAATAGTGTTACTGTATTTACAGTTAAGCCACGTCATTGAATATTTTCTTTTGTATGGCATGTAGATCAGTGTTTACAAAGAATAGCAAATATGATTCAAGTAATTTGAATTAAGACAACTTTTAAGTATAAAATGTTAATAATCAAGTGTTCGCACATGTGATGTACAATATCAGAGACCACTACAGTCACATAGAAGTATCAGACACATTCTACAACATGCCCTACTAGAAGACACCATCCCTAGTGAAAAAGTACGCTACATATTGTGGCCTGCCGTAGCAAAGATGACACCAATATACTCGTGTAGTATACCCCAAAACATAGTAGTATGTCGTAGCAAAGACGAGACCATCATGCTCATATTTTCCTCCAGTGATGGAGATCATCAATTACGTAACTGTATACTTTCCAATTTAACTATTCTTGAATACACAGCTGAAAGCACTTTTTTCATATGGATGAACCAAACAAAACTATTATTTTATAGATATCTGGAGAATACTTGTCCCAAAAATTATATAGCTTTGATTAGAATTTGTGGAGTTTAAGCAAGACTATCACAAAGTATTAAAGTCGTCAAATATTGTATTTGCCGGCGGATAGGACGCATATTTTTGGTTCACCATGAATTTAATGTACAGTATCTTATTTACATCCACAAAATTACACACACAAAAACCACTTTCAATAAATTTAATGAGAAAACAAAAAATTGTAAATTTCAGTATGTTTCCAGGTAACTGCACTTTACCTTTTTTTTTTAATTTCACTATTTTCTTAAAGAACAAACCTTATCTGTTGATTTGTAAGATACTCTTGGGGTACGTGGTAGTCAATATCTTGCGGTCTACATGGTGTTTCCGCCCAAGGGCCAGCAAAATTAGGGTAAAGATTTTCTGGAGAATTCAAATTAAGACCTAAAGTAGTAAGATCAGACCCTAACGCCAAAGAGACAAGGTTATGATCCGTTTCTGCTGCTCTGATAAACGTGAGGAGACCCACCATACCAAACTGATCTGTCACCATGCCCGCAGGAATGTTGGTCACCTTGCCTGAAGAGAGACAGTAAATAAGAAGCTATAAATTACCCTATAAAAACCAATTTTACCTAATTCTCAATGCACAACTATCATAACAAATGGGGTTTCAACATGAACAAATACAATCAAAAGGTGCATGGACTGAGAGGTGAACGACCAAGAGTTGTATACAAACCGTCAGGTGATGTTTGAATTCCTCTTTTCTGAGACTGACTCTTTTCTGCCGCCCGCAGCACCAAATCTGAAGGGGTGTCTGTACCCGTCGCAGAATTCGATTTCTTTTCGTTATTAGAAAACCCATCATCTGAAAATGGCGAAAAGACTTTCTTTCGGTTATTATGAAGTGCAAATAAAGACTAATTAGTTTATCAAATAATTTTTTTTACTACCACTTTTATTATCTTGAAGCAACATGACACTTGTGCCTTAAAACTGGATTAAATATACCTATTACTGCTAAACAAATAAATGTAAATCCCAGAAAAATCATATTTGTTTTAGAGGAAACAAGACCTTTAAGTTGGGCAATGTTTAAAGACTTAAAACCCATTAGTTTTAATTAGGAAACCCTTCCACAGTTCAAATATGCATATATTAATAGCTTTATTGAATATCCACATTATATAATTATACATAAATAAAAATTTATTTGTATAAAAAATATATCGCATTCATTGCCAGATACTCAAGCATACGACGATTCATTACACTTTTCTTACGTTTACACACAGTACATTCCCATATCAGAGGTTTGTGGGTCATGCTTATGGAATGATTAGGGACTATTCAAATATTAATATTAGTGATTTATACTATCAGTACACAAGAAAATGGAGAAGGGGAGCTATAGGCCCGAGAACATATTCAATGTCTCTAGATGAAATCCCACAGGAAACAGTCACAACACCCCAAGCCTCGGCATGTGTACCCAAATAGCATTAAATCGAAGAAGGTAAGAGATGACATGCAGTGGAGGCAGCCAGGAAGTGCAACACCATGGGGCCCCATAGTGGCAGTATTTCCCACAAACTGGAGGGGGGTGAGGCAAGAGGACCTTCTCTGAGTCAACACAGGAGAACACAAGTGCACAAGCCTTCAAACCCACCACCAGACGGGAGGAAAGTGCAATTAGGTTTGCCTGCTATACCCAACAATGGATAGTCAAGGCAGAAAGGAAACCTACACCCAATAGGTGAAACGCCATTGACTGCATTGTTATTGTCCAGCATCAAACATCATACACTATAGGGCAAAAACCTGAGATGTAATTCAAAGGATGTGGAGATAATGAACAGGGGAAGAAGAAGAAAAAAAAAAAAAAAAAAAAAAAAAAAAAAAAAAAAAAAAAGTGCACTAATGTAAGTTGCAATCACCCAAGAAAAGATGCACTGGTCCTGGGACAAGTAAAATTAGGGACACGATCCAGAAAATACTAAGAGGAAAGGTTGAGGGTGGACACAGAACATGGGCTCTACAAGCAGTATGCTCTGGAGGGAAGGAACCCCAAAAGTGAAAGGGGACTCTCGCCATAAATTTGCTGCACTCCCACTTATCACCTGAGGCCGTAATTCCCTATTTATAGATTAGGAGGCCCTTCACAGACCTAACCCACACAGTTACAACTTCACTGGATGCGAGCTAGACCAGAAAAAACATATGGTGGGGGGATGTAGCACCTTAAACCCCTGCCAAGGAGTAAAATTGTCCCCCCCCCCCCCCCCTCGCCCTGTGACTGGCTCTCACTGCAGCCTTGTAAATTTGACCACCTAATGGACCATCTTACAGGAGGTAAGATGGTGATAAGATCCCCTAAACCTTTGAATTCACCGTCATCTTGGATCCTCTTAGATCATTCCCTGCATATTATCAAATCCAAATCGAGTTACTCAGGTACCATATTGAGTGATTAGTAACCTCAGAACCTCGATCGATAACCTCGGTTACTCGATTAGTAACCTCAGTCATAACCATCTTTCACAATTTTACACCATTTTTTCCCATTAGGATAACAGTTTGTACAGTACACTAAAAAGTTAATTAACATTAGCAAGGTGGGACTCGGCAAATTGCATTTTTAGTCGGAGGAGAAATAAACTGGGGTTGTTTCCCTACCATTACATGTGATAATTGCATTTTCCACACTGCCTCGAAACATGTATTTTTCTAAATCTTTTAACATTTATCCACAAGAGGAAATGGGACCCAATAGCTGCTGCCATCTTAGTGGCAAGAGAAGAAAATATCTGCTCGACACCTGCTTGATGGGGTTCTGGGAATTCTTCTATTCCCCAAGCCCAGCCCAGGCCAGGCTTGACTTTTGAGAGCTTGGTCCAACAGGCCGTTTGTTGCTTATCATTCCATGCAACATCAGAAATAAACATACCATGAACACTTACCTACCTACCTACATCTCCACCTCTCCATATCTCTCTCTCTTTCTCTCTCCATATCTCTCAATCCCACACATTCACAACCATGTGGCTTGACATATTAAAAGTCAATTTGCAAGTTGACCAAACCAACTTGCAACACAAGCAAGGTATGTAAACTTAGGTGTAAATGTTTACTTGCTCATTTTCAACAATGTCACCAATATAAGTGGTATAATGAGTCATATGAAGAGCATTTTCGAGCATTTTCATTAAAAAAAATTTTTTTTTATATATAAAACAAGTCAATGAGAAAACAACACAGATGAATGCAGGTCAACAAAAGGACAGAATGTATTATGTTATAGTTTAAAATTAAAATATATAAAAATTCCTTGGCAAGCATGTCTACTTGTTTTATTTATGATGATATTCTATGTAGTGGGAGCACTGATGGCCAGGCAGGGAACTATCAGGGAAAAGTGCCAAGCCATTACGACTATATAGCCCTAGGAAGGGATCAGGATTACGATTTGGGATGGGTCGGGGGGGGGGGGGGGGGGGGGGGGGGAGTGAGGAATTGTGTCCAGCCACTAGGACTGTTGGGGATTAAATGCCGTCCTGCAGGAAGTGAGACCGTCGCTCTACCGTCCAGCCCAAGTGGTTGGACTAATAGCCAAGTAATGCCAGTCATTTCCCAAGTAATTACCATTATCATTCTTGATATCATATGACTTCTACAATCCTGAGGAGGTTAAATTCTCACAGTTGGAAATTAAGCTTAAAAGTCTTTTTTCATTAAACCAATTGACATTTAACAGTAAAACATTTAAAGTACGGGCTAGAAACACAAAAAGTTGAAAACTTATACACACTATACTCTTGTAATTAAAACTTAATAACAGTACTTAAAATATAAACTATATAGTTTATCTTACCAATGTTCTCTAAACATATTATGCTACAGCTGGGATTTCCAAAGTAGATGCTACTGCCCCCCAAGGGTAGCTGGGATTTCCAAAGTAGATGCTACTGCCCCCTGAGGGTAGCTGGGATTTCCAAAGTAGATGCTACTGCCCCCAGAGGGTTGCTGGGATTTCCTATAGGGGTGCTATGAGGCAAACGGGGGGGGGGGGGGGACAGCAGGGAAGCACTAGCGGTGGGCCCCTTTGAGTGCCTAGCCCTACATCAGTTTATAGAACCAACAACATGGCAACTCAAAAAAAATTAAAATGGAAACCACTGTTCTATCTAGAAAATCATGAATTAGAATAAGGTCAAAAGAAAAAATCTATACATACAGTTATTTTGCTTTTATATTAGCATCATGCACTCCAAAGTATATTTATTAAGATCTCCATTGTAGAATTTTTGCATTAAAGCCAATTTAAACTTTACAATGAAAAAATAAATTTGTTTAAATTGTAAAGGCTGAAAGAATTGACCAAGGTAACCAACTGCTTTCTGTGCTAGACTCATTCATCTTTCTTACTAAAGACTTGAATTTAAAAACTATGTAATACAGTGGGACCTAACTAGAACTAGTGTACAGTGTGCAGAGCCAATTCATTAGAGTGTGGAATGTATTTGATTTGCCACAGCTCTGACTACACCCCTTCCCCCCTCCCCCCCATTTACCCATTTTTTTTTTTTTAATCTTTCCCTTTTTCTTTTCACTCTTTTGTGAGGGGCCTAGAACCATTTTACACGTGACAGAGGAACGCCACTTACTTTTACCGGTAGGATTTGCTTGAGAGCCTGGTAACGCTGGAAAGTCTTCACTGCTCATGGTGAATTCTGAGGTCTCTGGTGTAGGCTGTTTAACCATACCAACTGTGGAATAGGCGTGATATTAACAGGTTTGCTCTACTCGCTTCACTAAGATATCAACCTTAAGACTTTGTTTTTTATCAAGTTGCCACTTAGTACTTGAATTGAGCCACAGAGCAAGTCTTTCCCATGTTCACAATGTTCTCAGAGCAGACAAAATAGGGTAAGTTCGGGTAATAACCCTACTACCTCTATTACAACGTCAGTGGAAGGCAGCAGACATAAGCCCATTACAGAAGTTTATTTCTTTAACCATTCTCAATTTAACAGTATAGTAACTGGTGGTCTGCAAATTTATCAATAGCTGCCCAGTTATTTATTTGTATTTATTTAAAAATATATACAAGGTACAATAGGTTGAGTTAGTATATTGACTAAATAGCACATTCTTGCAAAGTCACTGAACACGCACAATTTTTTTTAGCTTATTTAGCCACTCTTATTGACCTGTGTGTTTTCCCAGCTTCTTTTTTCAATGCAGTCTGCTTGAGTACAACCAAGTGGCAATGGATTTACTTCTGGCATCACTAAACCACAATTCAAACAATTTTCAGAACCCCAAAAGGGCTTTTAGAAAGAAGTAAGGATGTAATGAAGCAATGAGATTGGCAGACAAGCCAATGAAAACAGTAAAGGTAGGGAATGAAGAAAGTACACGGGTGAAGAAGAGACGGCTGTTGGGCACGACTGATAAAACAATTGGAAATCTGAAGATAACTCGCTTTGTTAGTGATAAGAATACAAAATGAATTACCAAAACTACATCGTTTGGAAGAGGAAAGTGCATCAATGCAAAAGCTGCAAGTACCAAGAATTGCAGCTCCTTGGCACTTGCAGGAGAAGCAACACCAAATCGTGTTGGTGGACGAGGTCTGTATTTTAGAGGGTGCTCTATATTTCAGATTTTTAACACAGTATACCAAAAAACTCCAGCAGTGGGTACATATGAAAAGACCTTTCCTGTTGAGCACACTGGTTATTCCCATTTATTCCTTTCCCTTTCTCCCTCCTTTGTGCTTAGGAGGGTTTTTCAGTTTTTTCAAAATCAGGCAGGATATGATAAGCTTGGGTTAGGAGGGGTGGTGGGGGGGTCTTCTTGTGTCAGTCTACTACTTGTAGTGGTCAAGGACCGTGGGTAGTGATCGAGCGGGCCATTCGGTACTTGGCCAGGGCACCGAGGTTCAAGTAAATGCACTTTCTGGCTGCATTCCAGGATACATTCAGCCATTCCAAGATGGACCAAGTTCTCCAGTGTCTCCTTAGCACCAGTATGACTGGATAAGAACCATTTGAAAAGTTCCCTTTATGTCTACCAATAATGTTTACCTTGCCTAACTGCACTAGATCCTAACCAGGGCTCAGCAGAGTCTGCCTTAAGGACCAACCGAGTAGGATAGCTCAAAGTTGTAATTGTATATGCACCCCACAGTAAGAGATTTTATGACGAGTTAGGGCAGATAAACTAACTTTGGTGTATAATTTGAAAGGAGAAACATTTTAAGTTCGAGGAGATAATGCAAAGAGTGAAAATTTTAAGAGTGAAGCAATGTTTGAGCACTGACTATTGTTTGAACTGAGAACAAAGTGCTGACAATGCGAACATTAAGTTTTGAGTAGTCTTATTGAAAAATGACGGCCTGAAAGTGCTTTCATCAAATGTCAATACTCACTAATACAAAGTCATCAATATATGTGGGTAGGTCTGGTATAGATGCTTACAAAACCAAATACATTGAGAAAATAATAAAGGTTAAACTAAAAAAAAAGAGGTCTCGAGTGAAATTTTCATGGCTTAAGTGGCAAATGAAGAATAAATTCTTAATTCCAAGATTACATTACCAATGAAATTATCCCAACCACTTCAATTGTCACATTATATGGCTATGCTATAACATCATATGTATATATATATATATATCCCTTCCAGTAGTGCAATCTATTTATTTCAGATACTGTATCTTTATTGAACCCAGATCATTAGCCCTCTAAAATCAGAATACAATCCTGATTAAAGTCTGCCATCGTTAAAATCTTGATCGACTGGGCAGCAATTTCCAGATAATAAAATTTGCTCAAAATTTGTACTCTTCCCTTTGTTTTAATAGTACTCCATTATATGATACAGGTAGAAGCACTCATTTTCAGAATACCCATTATCAAAAAAATACCTATAAAATGGTAACACGCTTGCCCCACACTATGCAAGCGATTTTGCAAGAACCTCGAGCAAGAGTTACCTAGGCATAAATTCTTAATTGATCCTTAAAGTTGTACTGCTCTAACATCTCTTTGCCATTTCCTTCAATGCGCAAATCGCCATATGCGCTTGATCCTTTATGGTTTTCGCTACTTCCCTTACCCCCTCCCTTCCATGTGCACCTTAAATGCAGAACTTTTATATAGGAGTACCAATTGAGGGTTACCTGTTCACACAGGAATAATGGGTGACCTGGTTGTAATCTGATTGGCAGTTCGTGTTCCATGGACAACTAATAGTCTTAAGGTTACCTATAGGTAGGGAGAGCTCTAAGCCTACTAACAGGAGTCAGAAGCTGTGTGCCTGTGAACTTCTTGTTAGCAGCAGTTCAGTAAAGTTAATAATAATAACAAAAAGAGTCCTATTATCCAAGTCCAAATCATATTTACAATTAAATAACAAGATTAGCTAAGAATATATATATGGTCTGATGGAAATTACTCTACATGAACCAGATTTGACCACGTCCCCCCCCCCCTCTCTAGAATCGATCTTCATTCTGAGAAACCCAAATTTTGGAGATTTACTGGGTGAATTTATCCAGTGTTCAGAAGATTCCATTATGAGGTCCGTATTTTAGAGGGTGCTCTGTATTTAAATTTTTTTAATGTTATACTGTATATGGGAAAAAAAGTATCCGATCTATTATCCATGAGTATTTTACCCCATTGGATTAGATATCCTTCATAGCTGTGACATGACTAGCCAGGAAAATTTCATAAAACTACAGTGTAACAAAACACAGTACTATGACTAAATTAGCCAAATGATCATTAATTGGTAGTATCTTTCATCGAATCACTTAATATAACATTAAAAATATCAAGAAATTTAAAACGTCCATCAATATTGCATGTACAGTATTTAACTGGTACAATGGTTAACCATTGGCTGCGACAAACGGTAATAATTATTGTTATTACATTTCTAGTAGCAACATCTCTCTCCAGCTGTCAAAAAAAAAAAAAACCCTCCCAACATTATTTAATTTTCAATTTGACAATATGGTCCACATAATATAAAACCAGGCTGTGTGTGTTCAAGATGTACAGTAATGTTCATTACTGCAGCACAAGTACAACCAATGAATGATTTTCAAACATTATTTGGGAAGGGGGAGATGCAAGGGGGGTGTGGGGAGGTCAAGAGTTCTTACAGTTTATCTTGCATTTTTTATTACATTTATATAAAGAACAATGTTTGGTTTTCAATATACCAAAAAACCATTAAAAATGGTCTTTTAGATAGGAATAGGTTTGAATCATCATTATATAATATTAAAGATGGACTCTGGTAACGATATCAAAGTATGTGCATTTCAAATGTATAGAATATCATCATAATTATAAACAAGTATGCTTTCCAAGGAATTTCATGTTTTCACGTTACAACCAAAAATTATTTCTGCCCCCATTTTTTTTATACACTGTACTGATTTTCATATTTACCATTAATCATGAATCTGAAAATTGTGAACAAGTCTTGAAAAAGAGGAAACACACATTTACATGCAAAAACCTAACAAAAAAAATCCAAGCATGTAAATTAACTGCAATATGTTTAAATAGTACTGTATACCTTATACGAAATGATACAATATACAAAACATAACATACCTTAATTATGTCCAAAAAACTGCAGAAATAGGTGCGAGATGCGAGTTTGAGGGTTTGAAGAAAGCATAATTGCCAATTTTTTGGCGATACCGCTAAGGGGCAACACTCGATTCTGTCTCCAACTGATGCCATTATTTATCAAGTCCAGGTGGCTGTTTTTAAAGTTAGAGGAGCTGGTAAAGCATTACAGAATTTGGAAACGTTTTCCTAGGGGCATGGAGAGAGAGATCGCATACTGTACTGTGGCCTAGGCAGATTTTTACACTGGTGAACGCTGTCGCTTAGCACGGCCAAAGGGTCAACAAATTTGCTTTTAGGCTGGGGCTTTAAAACTAATATTTGTGCCTACTGGATTTCCCTAGCCCTCTTTATTCCCTCAGCCCAATTAATAGCCTAGTTTTATCACCCAAGAAGTTCTAAGGAGTATTTCCCTAGGTAATTATCAATACTGTATCTTCAAATTCAATTATACTGTAATTAGCACTCTTAATTTTTTAATAATAATACCTAAACTCACCATAAGGTTGTCTGCCAGCCATTGGGTTTGGTTGAGAACTATCAGTGTTTCGAGAAGAGAGTGAAGGAAATTCAGTTAAATCTAGTGGGGGTGGGGCAGAATCTCCTCCAAAATTGCTATGGAGGCTCATGATGTTATTCCCTCCTCCACTGCCATACTGTCTACCAACAAAGCCACTTAAACCTCTGGTTCTGAAATATAAGAGAACATTTATTACTGTTTTGCTCTGATAAAGGCATGATGACAAGGCATGTAATTATCTGGAGAGAATGCTTAGCCAGTATAACTACACAGTTCTGTATAACCTTCGAAGTTATAAGAATGATTAACAGCTGGAATACGAGGATGATGTGAAGGGACAGTACCCAGCCACTTGAACCACCAGTGATCAAGTGCTGACCCTGCAAGCAGCAAGGCCATCACTATTCCGACCAATCCAAGTGAATGGTTAGAAGCAATTACAAACAACAAAACTTTTGCATGACTAATACTGCAGTGAGAGCGCCTTATGTGATGTTGGCAAATACCACAGAAGGGTATTCAGAGCAAAGAGTTGACAAATTGTTAAACAAATTTATTTACAGCATGTCACAAAAGTTAAAATCTGTAATATGCTAATGAACATTAAAATAGGGAAGTCGAAAACATAGAACAGACTGGATTTTAGTGCTATGAAATATGAACTTTGAGGATACCGTATAATAAAACTACAGTATTCGAGCGTGACAAAATTGGAAGAAAAAAATATACATGATAGGTATACATGATATACGTGGTCTGGTCAACATACATGATAGCTATACATATGTCTAGAAAATATATGAGAAGGCACCTAATTATTTTAAAGCAAAAATAAAGGAAATAAGAGGCCAGATTTAAAAATGGTTAGAAAAATAATAAAATAAAATAGTAATGCTTAATAATAATAAAAAAAGTTCTGAGGTAGTAATTATTTGAATGATCTATGAACTTTATCTACCTTAGGTACAATGAAACACTTAAAATGAAGAAAAGCTAACATTTACTTAAATACTGATAAATTTTTACCCAATGCCTTGCATATGTCTGAGCATTTCGCTCACGGCCCGTTGTTGTGTGGCAGCTGTCGCTTGAATACTATTCGCCATGAATAGCGAGTTGGTGTTGTGCGTTGCTGCCACGGCTGAAGACAGCGCTGCCAAACTTGGTCCGCCAGAGCCACCGCCTCCACTACTGACGAGGTTCCCCACACTTGGACCACTTGCAATACCACGACTCTCGATGCTTCTGGCAACAGTACCACCTAAACTCCCCATAATACCTGTAAGAAATACAGTTGTTTGCTACGAATTAGTATTCAAGAAAGATATTGTTTCTGATGTGTCTGAAGATGTGTGAGAGAATAGAGAATTTACTCTTGGGATCATCTTTTTGCTTTTGAGTACAGTATCTGGTGCAACCACTTTCTCAACTCATTACGCAAAGAGAAAAAGAGAAAAACAGATAAATGATAAAGAGAAAGAAAAAAACAGAAAAAAAGAATAAAAGTGTGTAAGAGTAAACAAGGAAGTGTACACACACACACACACACACACACACAGAGGCAAATTTGAAGTGGAAACAGAACTCTAAAAGGTCTTTACAGTAGAAAGCAAATGACGAGAGATTAGACAGGGTCCAAAAAACTGAGTATTTTTTTTTAGAACTGCATCAAGAATTTTAGAAGAATTTCCCTATATTATTATTATAAATAAATATATAAATATATAAATAAATATATAAATATATAAATAAATATAAATATATAAATAAATATAAATATATAAATAAATATAAATATATAAATAAATATAAATATATAAATAAATATAAATATATATATATAAATAAATATAAATAAATATAAATAAATATAAATATATATTATACAAACACACACACACACAGGGAAGTAATATTCCAGGTAAGGGTGAATAGCTTTTGTAGAGTAATATTAATTTAGACAAAGTTAAACATTTCAATATTTAAAGCCGATGCCTAATTTTTGGGAAGCCTTCTTGGCAACTGTTGAGTTACACATTTTCATCACAAATCTAAATCATTCTCATATCCTTCTGTTTAATTCTCATATTACTTTTTCTAGCTTGGGAATATCCAGCAACTTAACTTTCATTTATATCTCATTTATTGAGATATAATGCTTTTTGCTGCTCAAAATCCATCTGGAATATATTCACAGGAAAATTGGTGGAGGGGTGAGAGCTTTGACAAACTGCTAGATTCCTGTTCCTGTCTGGCTACTAAATATATGCTAGCCTTAGGTAAACTGAGGTAAATAATTCTGATTACTGCTTAGTGATCAGCCCAATTAACACTATTTCTTAGAAAAAAAAAAAGAACTAATCTATATTAGTCTGAACAGTCTCTAAGTATAGAGACAGACGAGGCGTATGCACATGCTAATGCGCACACGCCCTATCACAAGTGTGGAAGGATTAAGGATGAAGTGCATCTCTTCTGCACTTCACAAACATGATTGCACACAAAAAATGACAAGGCAATGTTTATGTTTAATCAAATTTATGTAAAAATAAATAAACGTGATACCTAACTAAATTGGCCTTTTATCACATTTAACCTCCTAACTGTGCAGGCTATCTTGATGCATGGTCTGTCATGTACAAAAAATAAAATAGTTCTGAAAAAAATAATATTTTGTTTTGACATAGTTAATTAGCATCCAGGAAGCACGAAAATCTACATAAAATGTGGAAAACTAAAAAAAGCCTATCTTGGTTTAGCTGTAGTAGACAGACAGTGATGTGTTTTTTTCAGTAGAAATGAGGCGAGGTGCAGTGTGGAAATAACTCGGTCCCTTTATTTTCATTGTTTCTCACTTTATATACTGTATTTTTTCATGCTCACATGTTGTACTGACGAGTCAATAGTGGTATTCACCATGTACAATTTTGGAAAAACACATATGTACAGATATACTGTATGTGAATAAATATATGCACACCCTGTATTTATTCACACACATATACTGTACTTGTATATACTGTACAGTACTGTATATATGCAAGCCTAAATCTTATAACTGCACATAGCACATTCTAATTGCAAGCATATACATGGATATTGCTAACTTGCAGTTGTTAAAAATTCAATGGTTCCTAGCATGGCTGCCCTGCACATTCAGTCGCTGAATGGTGATGCACCAGACATGCCAGCACTTTTTTTTAACCAAGTGCCCTGGAAGGAAACTAAGGGGGCAAAGGATTTTTTTCCAATTGGGACAAACAATTGACAGGGGCCTCTAATGTCAAATGACATTCCACAAGAATGGGTGGGGCTTTTATACAAAATGATTTGCCCTAATCCTTCCACTGTGCAACATGACAGGTTGATCTCGCTTATTATGTGTAACCTGCGAGGCATGAATGGAGAAGTTTTAAAGTGATGTACCATGAAAAGTTTAAAAGTTCCACAGGTACACAGGGGTCATCATGTACCTGCGAGATACATAGGTACTTTGTACCTATGTATCTTTGTACCTATAATGTGATGTCATTGTGATTTCTTCACCTCATCATGGCCAAGCAAAAAAAAAAAAAAAAAAAAAAAAAAAAAAAAAAAAAAAAAAAAAAAAAAAAAAAAAATCCTGTGATCAGGGAATGTATTCATTCAATATTCAAAATCCAGGATTTTTTTTTCACACCAGGGCATTGTCACATCTAAATGGGACAACGCCAAGAGTTAAATCACAACCAGACGACTGGAACATTTGGGCTAATTGCTCTCAAGCAGTGTAAATAATAATGTACTTCAATTATGTTGACACTATCCACCAATCAAAATTTAGGTCCTTTAGTGAAATTAATACCTCCACAATATTGACATTCTTCGTACAGTACTAATAAATATTGGCCTCAATAGGTAAGGTGGGTTGCCTAGGTTCATATGCTTCTGCTAGGCACAAAATGCTTCAGATCTGATGCTTGTCAAGTTGAAAAAACAGGCTGAATTAAGGCAACACAACTTTAATTACTATGTGAACTTTGAAGTACTAGTACTGTAATGTGAATGTAGCATACAAATGGACTGACGAATACTGATTTTAGATACAATATTCTTATGTCTCTCCTATTAAGTTAAAAAATCTTTTAAAGTCTTTTTCAGTTACACAAAAATTTGCCTATACAGTGTTGCACAGCTCAAATGTAAAAGATCATTCTCATTCGTACATTATCTTCAGTTATCTTCAGATGATTTCGGGGCTTTTTTTTAGTGTCCCCGCGGCCCGGTCCTCGACCAGGCCTCCACCCCCAGGAAGCAGCCCGTGACAGCTGACTAACACCCAGGTACCTATTTTACTGCTAGGTAACAGGGGCATAGGGTGAAAGAAACTCTGCCCATTGTTTCTCGCAGGCGCCTGGGATCGAACCCAGGACCACAGGATCACAAGTCTAGCATGCTGTCCGCACGGCCGACCGGCTCCTTACCTAAACGTTGACATGAATGTCAACATTTATGTACGAGGGTGCTAAATATTTAACTTCCCCACTATGTTCATAAATGCAGTTGCAACAGCAGATATAAAGCTGTAATAGGACAAATTTAAATTTAGCTTATTTTTTCTGGATAGACCTTGTTAGGGGGCTCCATTGTATACTAGCATTTACTGGCTGTGAATTGCTTCAATTCCTTACACTGCAGTGCCCAAACAGAAAGTGAGGGGTAACTTACCTAAGGTTTCTTCTCCCGCAGGCCTCACACCAGGAGCCCTTTGGTTTCGAGCCCAACGAGATACCACTGTGCTGCGAGGCTCCAATGAAGCCTGCAAACAAATCCTCAGAATTAATCTCAATGTGAAGTACAGGACACAACTATAAGTACCATATATAAATATATTTAGTTTCCAGTTATTTTTTTTAATAAACCAGCAAGTTAACATGAAAAAATGGGCGAACTGTTTTAACTTGTCCAACATGTCTAAGGAGTACACTGGTACTGTAAAGTATTTATAAAACTGGATTATGCAAGTACTGCATTTCATTAAATTGGTAAAGTATAAACAATTACAATGATAACTAAATACAGTACAGTATGGTTTAATCTCACGAAGATGATAAAGAAAAGTACAGTAGGCCTAGTCCAGATCCAGCAACTCTTAGGATTCATTCAGGATGCATTACGACATCAGAGGGGGTTAAACAATACTCGATAGTGGTGATAGACAGCCTGGTATAATGATATCAACTGTACTGTACAGTCCAGTACTAGCTATTGATCTATTGTTTAGCCAATATCTGATACCCTTGAAGTTGTCAGCATTGAACTACATCTGCTAAGTGTCAGAACATTTTGAAAATCAATTTAAGTACTTCTGTTATACAGTACAGTATCTGTATCCGAGTTTATTACTTCCAGGATATAGTGTCACTGGCAAATTTACGAATGTTGACATTCACTCCTGTGAGTATTGTTACACATCTTTATGACCAAACCACACATCAGAAAATGAAGAAACGATGTTTCAGTCCATCCTGGACCATTATCAAGTCAACTTGATAATGATACAGGACAGACCAAAACGTTGTTTCTTCATTTTCTGATTTATGGTTTGGTCGTCATATCTTCCTTAAACCATGTGATTGCGACTCACTGCCTACACATGTTCTTGCTCATCCTTGGACCTTCTGTTATTTAACAAGGGTTGTCAATAACCTATACCATTGTCTTATTGACCTCTTCTGCTGCCATTCCAAATATGTTCCCATGTGTTGGTTGTCTCTGGTTCTTTAATTGCCTAAAGGCTCTAGTGTAGCTTTAGTATTATTACACTACTGTACTATATTCAGTTTTGCCTTCAGTACTACAGTGCCATGCGGCTATAGTTCCATCATCCTTTTAGTAGCTCTACAATCTTGTTTGTAATTCAACTGCATATGTGTACATAACCTTTGTTCTATAGTACTGTACTCATCTCTAATGAGCTTACCGTGTTTTTGCCTCTGGGTGGAAGTTTCAGTTGGTCTCGGCCCAATCTAGAGAAAGAGATATACAGTACAGTACATAGGTTATTTTGTAGGAGTAATACCATCCCATTTTGTCGACTGGATAATATGACTATCTGGGCAAACAATATTTTGCTTTGAAGGAGATGCTGCTGGCAGTCTGAGCTTCACTTGTGCTTTTCTTGGGGTATTTTCTATGTCATTTACATCTTCTATATTCTTTTCTTTCCTATTGTTCTACCATGCATCTCCCTCTGGCTCTAGCAGACTCGAAATGATTACAAGTTCCCCACTTTCCAAATCCCGCTTGCTGTAATGCATGGCCCTCAGCCTGTTATTTTGTGACCAACTTAGCCCTCAGCTCCTGACACTGCCAATTTAATAATCCGCTTTACTTTCAGAGCCTTTAACCACTACAGCTCAAGTTTTTCTAGGCTATATTTTCCATAAATCCTTAAAGCCACCAACAAGCAGAGAAAAGTGGTTGTATCCCCTTTCCATATAATATTTCCCATAGATACATATAACAATAATTGAACATTAAAAGTGCATTCAAGTGCCTCTTCATTCCCATAAATTTGTGATTTGAGATTATCCTGCCCCAAGACTGTACTGTACTTGCACAGCACATTCAGGCACTTTCACTATGACAAGGCACGACTGGATAGGGAAGGACAGCCGAGTAAGTCTCCTTACACCAACTGTCTGTTCACCTAATAGGAAATAGGTATTGTACAGTACAGTGCCTTTCTAAATATGTACAGTACTTGGTTGCTATTTGACTATTGTAGGTTGCATCTTGAGGAATGCATTGTGGCTCAAGTCACAATGTAGGACTGAGAACAGGAGATGCTTTTTCACCCACAGGGTTATTAACCCATGAAACCACCTACCTGCCAAAGCCTTAACTGCCAAAACTGTGTCAAGTTTTAAAACATTGTAGGAAAAGATCAAGGCAACAAATGGGGGGGGGGGGGGGGACCTTTGACAAGTAGCCAGCTTCTTGTCCTTGTCGAGGCCACTAGGGTTAGTGGCCCCTCAGGTAAATCAGGAATGGTCAACCACCACTCATTCAAGTACAGTACAGGTACAGTACTCAAATTTTCCCAAAGAAGTCACGAAATAACACATATAATTTGTTTATAAATTTCTTTGGCCTAGGCACACGTGATTTATCACATATATACAGTGAAGACAAACAATCTTAGATTATGTACAATCTGAGACCATGATGAACATTTGTCTGGCGATTGGAGGACTCTGAAGTTCTTAAAAACTACTTGATCAGTAATAATTTACAGCAAGTTGGCTGTTTATAGTACAACAAATGACTTTTTCCTTGGACAATACAGCAACTCTGAACATGCGCATTAATCACACGAGAGGCTTGGATATTCACCAATCTAATCTTTTACTAATGTATAACTTCCATCTTCTGAAAATCCCAATAGATAACTAAAAACTTGCTTATTGCATTCAACATGCACAATGAAATCAGAATAAGGCAAGGGAAGGACAAGATAAGATGGGTCACTGGGGTTACGATAAAATAAGGCAAGGATAAGGCAGGACAAGGTAAGGTCACTTAGATTAGAATAAGGCAAAGGACTATTAGGGTTAAATAAGCCTTGTAAATGAGTCAACAGTGCCTACTTGGAGTTACACAAGATTTACAGCAAGATTGAAATTTTAAAAACAGAATGCAGACTGCATAAAGAGTTAGAGTTTGAAGCAAGTTTTCTAACCAATACAAGTTGTGTTTCGCCACACCAAGAACATCGAGTGCAAGGTCTTGCAGAAGACACACACACACACGCCTTGATACATCCTTACCTTTGTTGTCTCAAGACAGTACAGTACACAGTGATGCACACCTCACAAAAATTAACATTTAATTTCATTATTATATAGTTGTCAATTTATGTGAATACACTTCACAGGTACCATGTACCAATTCTCGCACAACATTACACACACTTTACGCGCGCACACACGAAAAGGTAACCAAGCAGTGCTTGGCCGACGTTAAAAATATTCAGCATTCTATTTTGTGAAATATCACCCAGACAACGTACAGAACCTGCGTCGGCACCTTGGGTCAACTGGCCTCACATATATTGCCATCAATAAGTAACTAATATATGTACCAATATTTGCACTTAAACTTCACATTCACTAAAAGAAAAAAAATATTCACATTTCAAGCTATGAAACATTATTAGTCTTTTAAAAACTCACACAAAATGAATAACCAATTCACTTAAAAAAAAAAAAAAAAATTACTCCACAGTTTAGAAATGGTATAATGTTTTAACAACTGCCATGTGAATCATTAGACATAAAGTCACTGGCGATTAACTGAGTGGCCCCAAAAAAGCACAGGTGGGCCCTAAAGTCACTGTAAAGGCTGACGAGGGCCCACAAACTAGGCCACTGCCCCCCCCCCCCCATCCCCCGGGGGGCAGTTCTGGGCATTACAAGCCAACCCTAAGGTCCAGATGACAGTTCAAGGCCCCAAGAAACAGCCCTGGGCCCCGCAGGGCAAATCTGGGACCCAGGGGCCTGACGAGGGGCCCTCAGACCACCTCTCCTGACGTAGGAGTCCTCTACGAGCTGGACCCCAGCAGGAAAATTCCCAGAGTGAGATGGGGGTATATGGCTGCTTTTAGCCCTTACGAGCCCGTGGGGAACTATGCCTCACAGAGCCTAGGGTCCGTACTTTAGAGTGAGGGTAGGGTGAGGGACGCGGAGGGCCGTGGGGGGCCGACCCTCACCAATATACACCAAGACAATATGAAGCAGCTTACACTGACAGACAATCCGAGATCAACAAAGCCACTGGTGCCATCTGTCGGCCGCTCCTCCAACACCCACACACACACTCATACACCCGCCACGTTTGAACTCCGGCTCCTTCCCTGCTTGCCCCTTCCACTGCTTGTCCCTTTCCACTGCTTTTACCTCTACTGCCTGCTCCTCCACTGACTATATCTCCACCATCCCTCCACTGCCTGCCCCCTCCACTGCTTGCCCCCTCCACTGACCCTCGTAAAAGCTCCCTAATCACCTCCAGTGGTTAAGTGCTTAATACCACTCTAGTTTATGTGGCAGCTATTTTACCCTGTCAAATTAGGAGAGACATAAATGTATGACATAAATGTGTGTGTGTGTGTATATATATATATGTATATATGTATATGTGTGTATATGTATGTATGTATGTATATGCAGGATATGTGGAAGCTGTTCAGAATTGCATTTCACCTTTGTAAACGCACATTAATGACATTATGTAAAAAAAAGAAAAGACACATTGAACACTATTTCCACAGAGTCTATCACAGATTAAGAAAGTAATTAGAAATAGAGCAATGCAGAAGATGTACAGTGACTACAACACAGCCGTTGCAACATCAGGATCTGCGGGACGGTACAAGAATTCAAACAACTACAAACCACTTATTTTGATGAAAGGAAGCATTAGAACAACAGAAGTACATTTACATCGAATCAGGCTTGGATACCCATGTGCATGGGAAATAGGCTTACAGGTTCCGGAAGATGAGAGGAAATGTCAGCATTGTGGAGAAATGCCCGACAGACCACAGGAACATTATCTAACACAGTGCACAGTTATATACCCATAAAGATTTCAACTTAGATTCAGCAGAACTGAAGAAGTTGTTAACAGGAATATCCCTGCGAAAAAAAACACTTTATGTAGTCCAGACGTAAGTCTGTGTATTTATGTATGTAGGTTACATTGGCATTTTAAAACCACTACAATCACCTTCTGTGGTTGATTATTCAATAAATCACTGAACTATATGTTTAACAGATCTCTAACCTGTCCATAGAGGGCAGAAGAAAAATGTATAAATGTTGGTTAGCATTGTAAATGTGTGGCCACGTCTGTGGTAAAAAATAATAATAATAAAGAAAAAACTTCCTGCCCCTCCACTGACTGTCCCTCCACCAGCCCTTTAATAATAATAATAATAATAATAATAATAATAATAATAATAATAATAATAATAATAATAATAATACAAATGGGAAAATCCACAGGAGCCGTGTTATATCTCATTTATATATCACGATAACGTGATTTCTCTGTGTAATAACAATAATAAAAATAATAAGTAATGGTAATGTCTTCTTACTGACATAATAACGTAGGATAAAAACCCACACTTATGTAGTTTGGGAAATTTATGTAAATATTTACACACAATATACAGTCTTTCGAACAAACAGGGTGAAAACCTGAGACCAGAATTAAAGAACACAAGAAAGCATGTATAATCATGCCTGGTAATAGTGCTGGAGCAAACCACAGTTGGGAAAAGGATCACAATATTGATTTTAAGAATTGTGAAATAATCTATAAAAGTGAATAACATTAAAACTAGAAGGGGTAGTGGAGGGGGTAGAAATAGCCTAAGCTACTCTATCCCTTTGAGATGTATTTTTTTCTTGTCTAAATAAACATACTTGAACTTGAAAGGGGTAGTGGAATGAGTTCTAATAAATACTCTGAATACTTTCGCTGGCAACAAAAGCTTTACTTAGGCGAATAGCTTTACTAGAAAAATGATTCTAAGCGAATTAAAATTAGATCTCAATAAATGGATGATTGTAAGTAGTCCCTCTAGCTGCTTTCCCTGAGGTATAGAGATTTTTACGATCAGGGATACCATGAACACATCTATTAATAACAACCCCAGTTCCCAGAATAGCAGAAAGGACACCTGACCATAATTCCGTGGAAGACTACCGCAGGTACATCGGCAGTCGGGAATAGAGGTGACCTGGTCAGTCGGTCAAGAAGGATAAGAAGATTGGAACTAGAGTAGCAGCCCAGTGTTGCCAGATTGGGCTATAAATTGCGAATTGGGCTACTTTTGAGAGCCCGCGCTCCCAAATTTTTAATTTCGCTACTTGCTACTTTTTGGGCTAATTTAAAAGCAAGATGTGCTAATTTGGGCTATTAATGTTAAGAATGTACGATTGCGAGTTACATGAAAGTAGCTAAGCTATAAATAATTGTAATTAATAATAATTGTAAATATTAATTAATACTAAATAATATTATTTAATAAAGTAGTCCCAATTCAATGCAGAGTTTTCTTCCAAGCACAGAAACTTATAAATATAAATACAAGATAATAGATAGATCGATAAATAAATAGACAACTTTCAAATATTGCACCAAGTAATGGCGAGAGGAAAAAACTAGACAGTATACATTACATTTGAAATTAATAATGGATGAATGGAAATAAATTGGTGTATGTTTGTATGTATACCAGACAAAGTCCATTTAATGGCAGAATTTAGCCATTTTGTGTAAAAACTTTTATATCTCATATTATTAATTATAACAGTAATCGAAAAAAGTCATAGTTTGTATATACAAGAGATGAAACAGCGAGCCATGAGCTAGAGCGATGTGTTGAGTCCATAAGGAGGCCGAGCTTCCGGAAATACCTTCCTGTGATTGGCTGTTGCGGGGAATACCAACACTCTTTTATGAATAAAATTTAAACTAAGAAATAGGTCCTTGTGCACAACAACAAGGTTGTTGTGAAAAAGAACAACAATTTCTGTTTTGCACCTGACAGAAATCTCCATCTAACTGAATAATTTACTCGAATAAGAGGGCAGAGCAGTGTATCATTATTTGTGTCAAGGCAACCCCCAATAATAACGTCGCAAGTTAGGTAGCCAACCCATTTTTATATAACATTTGTTATATCCTGCAATATTTAATTATCACTTTATTAACACTTTAAATAATTAAAACTTCACTTTTTTGGGTAAATTAAAGTTAGAGCAGAATTCCATAAGCAGGACTGGTGGGCTGAACTAAGATGATTTACTAAGTGGATGGCACCTATAGCTGATCCCTTCCTGTGATTGGCTGTTGTGTGAATGTCAACAAAGAATATCTACCAATGATATGCCATTTATTATGCACCCCATACCATCTTGGGGCGGAGCTTGGAACCTCCTACCCGAGCACAACAACCCACCTTATGGGTTGCTGTTTGGCTATTTATAGTGCGTTGGAAAAAAAAGAGATGGCGCTAGTTGTATTTTGTGGGGTAATTTGTTATAAGTGTAATTTGATGTCAACAGATGGCGTAAGCTGTATCTTATGGCCACTGTTGACCTGCTAGTTGATAGTGTTCTTATCTGCCGACAGATGGCATCAGCTGTATTATTAGAATTTTAATAATATTATTACATTAATAATAATGTATTATTATTACTTTAAACACTGATCTATACGTCTGGTAGCTTATAATAAGGTTTTATACCATGTATTAGGTAACTAGAATTCTGCAATTACTTTTTTTTTATCTACTGTTGAGGATATGTAAGACAAATGTAAGGTTTTGAGGCTAAGTAACGAAGATAGTTACAAGATACGAGCCAGATGGTGTTGAGATTGCAAAACGGATTATGATAAGAACTTAAGCCAAAAAATCAATGCATAAATGTTCGCAAATATGAAACTGGGATTTATTTCTCGAAAAGTTAGCAATAAAATACGCTTTCTAGTTCTTTATTTTTAAAATTAAAACCAGGGATTCTGTCTAACGAAGCTGCAAGCTAAAACACCGTTATCCTATCATGTTCATCTGTAGCTTGACCCTAAATACTCGTTTATTAAACGAATTTATTGTTAGAGTTTATTAGGAATCAACTGTGTTGAAGGCAGAGTTTCCAACAAATACTTTCCTGTGATTGGCTGTTGCGGGGAATGCCAACGCTTATATGAATAAAAGGCTAAATAAGTAATACGTCCTTTTGCTCAATAACCTTATTGTTGTACAAAAGAACAACAATTTGTTTTATACAAGACAGAAATTTCCATCTAACTGAATAATGTAGAATAATAAGAGGGCGGAGGCATTGTATCGCCGATATTATTTGTGTGAGGCAACACCCTCTGATGACGTCACAAGTTAGGTAGCCAGCCCATGTTTCTGTAACACCCGTTACATCCTGCAGTATTTAATTATCACTATATTAATACTTTTAAATACTTAACATTTCACTTTTTAGGTAGATTAAAGTTGAAGCAGAATGTCATAAGCATTTAGCTAATCCCTTTCTGCCTGTGGGCGGAGCTTGGAACCTCCTACCCGAGCACAACAACCCGCCTTATGGGTTGCTGTTTGGCTATTTATAGTGCGTTGGAAAAAATAGAGATGGCGTTAGTTGTATTTTGTGGGGTAATTTGTTATAGGTGTAATTTGATGTCAACAGATGGCGTAAGCTGTACCTTATGGCCACTGTTGACCAGCCAGTTGATAGTGTTCTCTTTTGCCGACAGATGGCATCAGCTGTGTTATTATTACTTCCGAATTCCCTTTAAACACTGATCTACAAATCCCTTGACTTATGATAAGGTTTTATACCATTTATGATAAGTATTAGATAACTGGAGTTCCGCAATTACTTTTATTTATCCACTGTTCAGGATATCATCATATAACGTCTGGTTAGGACGTACTGCTCTCGATTGATGAAGATTAAGCCACCCAAGAGGTGGCACGGGCATGAATAGCCCGTAAATACTGCTCTCGTAATATTATTCAGGAGGGGTGGGGGAACTATCAAGTGAAAGCGCCAAGCCATTACGACTATATAGCACTCGGAAGGGATCAGGATACGGATTTGGGATGGAACGGGGAAAGGAATGGTGCCCAACCTCTTGGGCGGTCGGGGATTGAACGCGGACCTGTAGGAAAGGAGACTCTACCGTCCAGCCCAAGTGGTTAAGCGTAATATTATTAAAAACTACAATGTATGCATATAATAACAGCATTTCACACTAAAAATACTTGGATATATCGAAATTTGGTTGTGAA